TATATATATATATATATATATATATATATATATATATATATATAAATATTCATATTTATACAGAATTAAATATAGAGGAAATTGCTAGTTTTAAAACCCTTTTTGTTCGTACTATCTGCACTTTTGTTCATCTTAATGATAAATTGAAGCGATCACGCATTTCTATTGCCAAAATAATTAGACGCAAAATTTTGCATTGGTTCTAAAGTCAATAAAAGCTTACCTCATTTTAATTAATTGACAAATATTTTTTCTTCGCTATTTTAAATATACATAATTATACAACTTGCAACTAAAAAATTTCAAGACATTCTCCGCAGCCCCACATATTTATTGGTGATTATTTTACCAATATTTTGTTAAAAACTGGCAATTTTTTAAACGTGTGTTCCGGGCAAAGCAGCGAAATAAGCTCCTTGCATAGATCACAAATACTTTTTAAATCACTTGGTGTTAATTACTCAAAAATATTTGGAAGGCGTGTTTTAAATCTTCGAATATACAATTGTAGCAAATAAACAATTGTGTTACGGTGCAAATTGTCACCGCCCCGTATCATAACGGATGCGGTGTCCACGTACTCCGACAAACATGCTGGGAGAACCACGCTGAAAGGTTCTCAGCAAATCCGTAGCATACGTCAGGGCATTCCGCAGAAACGAAACAACCGACTGCCAACAGGTAGCGTTACAATGAGAATACAAAATTTCGAGACAAAAAAGCGACCGAAATCAGACATGTAATACTTCTATGTCCATCTCCGGCATGTAAATAATAAGTCTTCCACTTTTGATTATTTTTTTACGAGCCGCGGAATGTTTTTTTATGGGATTCGGATGCATTCTCGGCTATTTGTCTCCCACAATGATTTATCGTTCGCTGTGGCGATAGAACGGTGTTTCACGAGGCATGCACCCAATTAATACCGCCCATTGTTTTTTTGGATTCCCTGGACATTACCTTTTTTGCCAGCTTTTCGACGACGGTAGGGGATTTCGTTGTATTTTAAATATGGCCGAAAAGGTTCGACAGTTCTGCGGAGTATCTCACTTAGCTTTAGAGATATAGTTGATTGGTTGGTTTCAAATAACCTATTATATTATTTATATTGTATATACAGGGTGTTAAAAAAGTACGCTGCCAAACTTCAGGAAACGATTCCTTGCGTGATTTTAAAACGAAAAATTCATATAAACATAGGTCCAAAAATGCATATTTTTCAAGACACAGGGTGTTTCTAAAAAAATTATTTTTCCTTTTATAACTTTCGATATTTTTATCAAATTTGGCGAACGTATGGGGTTTGAACAGAATATTTCTAAAGAAAAAAATGGCACGTTACTGCTTTTTCTGAAAACAAAAATTATTTTTAAAATCCCCATTCAATTTGGAGTAAATTTGGTGCATGAATTTGTTTTCGTACGACGCACGGTTTTCGCTTAAAAAAATAAAGTCCGCTCTATTTGAAAGTTGGCACGTGTAATGCATGACTAGTGCTCATAAAAATAAATAAGTATAATTTGTAATAATCTAGTGATTCTTTTTTCACAGTCGTTTTGCGACGACACTCATGTTTTACATTTAGCATTCATGCGGTCCTTTTAAGCTTTTTTTTTATTTATTAAAACTTGCTACTACATCATAATTTTTAAATGTACTTTTTTTTTTAAATAAACTACCCATTTAATAGGAAAATTTAAGAAACAAACTGCAATTTAATCGATAATTTACAAGTCAAAAAAACCTATGTTGGCTTTGCTAAGCGACAGTAATTCATTTGTTTATAACAATAACTTGACAGTTGTCAAATTTATAAATAAAATTGCACTTGGTTTGTTTGATGGTGGTTTTTAAAAGTTTATTTAACAAATTATTACTGGTTTTTGAAAGTTTGTTTAAAAATTATTTGTTTGTTTTGGTGGAAATGCATGGCATGCATGGTAAATTTGCACCTAATTTGCTCCAAATTGAATGGGGATCTTAAAAATAATTTTTGTTTTCAGAAAAAGCAATGACGTGCCATTTTTTTCTTTAAAAATATTCAGTTCAAACCCCGTACGGACGCCACTTTTTAAAATAAAAATAAAGTTTTTGTGTCAAAAACCGCCTCTCAATAATTAAAAGATGTTGATAAAAATATCGAAAGTGACATAAAAGTTTTAAAAGAAAAAAAAATTATACAATTTGAACACCCTGTATCTTGCATTTTTTGACCTATGTTTATTGGAATTTTTCGTCTTAAAATCACGCAATTAATCGTTTCTTAAAGTTTGGCAGCGTACTTTTTTAACACCCTGTATAAATTGTATAATGTATACAGTGATATTTATGTTGTGTTGATGTGGTTGCTGACATCTTGCAAAAGTTTATAAAGGGTCACAACACACAACGTCAATTTTGACAAATATACTCTGAAATACGTATAACCTAAAACTCGAATGTTATAAAGAAACGACAATGATTTTTTTAGGATCATTCAAAAATAACCAAAATAACGTCAGTTTGCCTTTTTTGAAGCTTCTGTTCGGTTAGCAAATTTAACCTTCGATGGTGGCGCAGAGAGTAGACAAAGATGGCCGTTTGAATTATTTCATACCTTTGAACCTTTGACCAGCTCACTCATGGCTCCGTTATCAGTTTTTGTAGTATGTGGTTTGTGGAAAATGACACAAGAACAATCTCTTACGTTTATCATGTTTAATTTGCATTATTAAATGCAAAACATGTAAATTTAAATGGGTCTTGGCGGAGAAACAGATAACATAAAAGAGGGTTTTTACTGTGTGCTTTGAAACTAGCAACTTTAAAAGCATTGAAGCGATCACGCATTTCTATTGCCAAAATAATTAGACGCAAAATTTTGCATTGGTTCTAAAGTCAATAAAAGCTTACCTCATTTTAATTAATTGACAAATATTTTTTCTTCGCTATTTTAAATATACATAATTATACAACTTGCAACTAAAAAATTTCAAGACATTCTCCGCAGCCCCACATATTTATTGGTGATTATTTTACCAATATTTTGTTAAAAACTGGCAATTTTTTAAACGTGTGTTCCGGGCAAAGCAGCGAAATAAGCTCCTTGCATAGATCACAAATACTTTTTTAATCACTTGGTGTTAATTACTCAAAAATATTTGGAAGGCGTGTTTTAAATCTTCGAATATTCATTCAAAAATAACCAAAATAACGTCAGTTTGCCTTTTTTGAAGCTTCTGTTCGGTTAGCAAATTTAACCTTCGATGGTGGCGCAGAGAGTAGACAAAGATGGCCGTTTGAATTATTTCATACCTTTGAACCTTTGACCAGCTCACTCATGGCTCCGTTATCAGTTTTTGTAGTATGTGGTTTGTGGAAAATGACACAAGAACAATCTCTTACGTTTATCATGTTTAATTTGCATTATTAAATGCAAAACATGTAAATTTAAATGGGTCTTGGCGGAGAAACAGATAACATAAAAGAGGGTTTTTACTGTGTGCTTTGAAACTAGCAACTTTAAAAGCATTCCCTATGAAATTAAGTCTTAGTAGATATTGTAAAACTATCCATAAAGCTGTTCTAAGCAGTGGTCCTGGGTTTATGGTTTTTACAACAATAATTGATATTTAATTTTTCTTGTCTTTTATTTGAATTTGAATCCGTTAAGCTGTTCTTTTAATGTCGAACTTTGGAATGAATTAAGAGTGTGCTTAAGAATTTGTTTTTTTTTTTAAATAAATAGTGCCCACCAAATTTAGTTTTTCGTGCGTATTATAGCTCTCAGAATATGTACGATATGTCTCATTTTTGATGGTTTTCTGGAGTATCTTCCTTATTGATAGACCTAAGATGTTACGGCTTGTGTAACCAGAAATGAAATTGAATTTTTAGATACAGGGTGATTTAAAAAAAAATGTTTTTAAACATGCTTTGCACTTCGCTTATGCCGACATAAAAAAAATTAAAATAATTCTTTTGTAACATATATTTTTTAAAAGATAATAACAAGCCCGATGAAGTTTAGTTTATATATCAAAATCTGTGAGTTTCAGAAGAAAACTATACAGACCGGTTTTCACCTTTACGATAATTTAACGCATAACTACAAAGAGTGTCTAAAATCGCAAAATTTCGAAAATCACCCTGTAACAAAAAATTCAAGATAGCTATGAATCTTCTCGTCTTTCATTTATTTCATTCTTTTTTGTTAATCAGGGACTAAAACCATCAAAAATGGGACCCGCACGTAGTCAAACAGTTGTAGGTATTAATGTTTTTGATTGAACACCCTCTATAATATTTTTTATTTCAGCTTTTCGTATCAATAACCTCAAACTAACATTGTTCAAAAATTATCAGCATCACTGCTCTATGCTCTTCTGAAACGGAAGACAGAAGAAATTTTGAAAAATGTGTGTTTTTTAAATAAACAAAAACATATTTACCCGGTGTACCACAATTTTATTAATTAAAAATATAATCTAAATGATTAGATACAAGCCCTTGAGACAAAATTAGCGCCAACAAAATATATTATAATATAATATAATTTTTTCGAATGCTTATGAAATATCAAAGTAGTAGACTTTCAAAAAAATATAATAAAAATATAATATTATAACATACCTATTTCTAAGCTTAATAATATTTCTACCACAATTGAAATCGTCAATTATAAAGAAAGATAAAAAATTAAAACCTTTTTTATTCATCCAGAAATTAAATGGAATTTCCAAATTGTGTTTGCGACAAAAACTTTTTGATATTTCAAAATAAGAAATTCTGGCTGACACTTAAATTGGGAAATGTAACAGTGATGTCAAGAAATATTGATAAAGGACATCAGAATCCCGGTGAAAACTCGCGTAACTAATAAAACCAATCAACATGGCCGCTGACAGTTTGTGAATATGGCCAGATCTAGAAAACTTTACCAGATTTTTAATTATATATGAAAAGTAAATCCCAGCAAAATTTGAGCTCCAGAGGACACCTAAATAAAGAAGTGAACTCACCGTATCAGCAGCTGTCAAATTAATACCAAGTCCCCCAGCCCTGGTTGAGAGAAGGAAAACGAAAATGTCAGTCCTGGCTTGAAAATCTGCCACCATGTCTCGTCTTTCGGATATCTTAGAGGAGCCGTCTAGCCTCATGTATTTGTGATGTCTATGCCACATGTACTCCTGAGAATGGATTGTTAAAAAAAAAATAATGAAAAATCTAGTTTTAAATGAAGTTACCTCCAAAAGGTCGATCATTTTAGTCATTTGGGAGTAAATAAGTACCCTGTGGCCTTCTTCCTTTAGTTTCTTAAGCAAGCCATCCAGCACTGATAACTTACCAGAATCGGTGACTAAACTTTCTTTATCTAAACCGTAAGACATTATTATTTTTACCCATATCTTATTGCCACCATATTTATACCTGGTATAGCAATATTCGACCATCCGTGTACTGGTGAGATGTTATCCATACAACTATATGGTAGAGGGTAAAAACTTTCCGCTGAGTTAGGGAAGAACACATTTCCAGTGGACTCTGCCCAATAATAATTTAACGAAGTGAAACTATAGTCGTCAATATGTCTATGTAAATCCCAAGCAGCCCTTCGCGAGTAACAATAAAGCTGAATCGGTGGGGAAAAATTCTGCAAAAACCGATAAATTAATTACTTAGCTTTTTGAAAAATTTCCCAACTTACTTTTGGCATAGCAAAAAATAAACAACTTGGCAATTCTGTTCTTTGGCAATGAAATACTCTCACCGGTCGTTTTATATGGGGCAATTCGAATATCGGTGGTTTGTCATTCACCACATCTATATTTTCTTCATCACTTAACTCTCGTTTCATTCTTATGTTTTTGTGTTCAACGGTCTCTGGCATATAATGGTAATAGTGATCTTGATGAGTGTACACTACATTAGATTGTCTAATGTACCCCAGAAATACCAAACTGGGCAAGACTATACTGGACTCTATCTCAGGTCTACTTAACTTGAAGCTAGGGCTGATGTTGAGGGATGCTCTTAGGTCTTGCTTGGGGTGCCATACATTTCTATGATACAAAATGTGGTACCGTTTTTCCATATCAAAGTAGCTTTTCCACCTATAAACAACCGGTTGTCAATAGTAAACCAAGGTGTTTTTTGATAAATCAATTACCTTGCCAGAATATTACCTAAAAATATATTTGAAAGTTCCATCGGACAAAGCCTTAATGAAACTAAAAAATTGAATATGCTTCCCTGAGACGCTGCCCTTTCTTTAATATATTCCGGAGCGAACAGTAAATATTTATTAGTTTTTATACTCATCTCTCTTCTAATATTCAAATCGTATATCAAATATGGAATGCTATAAACTATAGGCTGTATTCTTATGGGCGACTTTGCGTCTCGTCTTTCAAATAATTCAGGGTGATTGCAAACCTAAAATTCTCGTCACAAATCATCCTACCAGGAGTAGAATATAAAACTCACTTTTCTAAACTGCATCACAAGGTTCATCAAATTAGACGTAAAATTCTTATCCACAGTGTGAGAATCCCCACCTCCTACCGAGTAATGCAATAAGTCTTCTATTTTAATTTTTTGCTTTAAAGCCATGTATAGTAGGTTTTGTCTGGTGGTCAAAGGGCAATATACCATAATTTCGATTTTATCGGACAATTCGTTCTCCACATCTTTTTTTATCCTTCTCAACATGAAAGGTTTCAAAATCATGTGCAGTCTTGATAAGTGCTCTTAAAAAAATCCAATTTTAGTACTACCATCAGAAAGAAGAAAAGAATTATTATAAAAAATGTTTAGAAGATATCGACATGTTACTACTTAAATAATTAGTTGATTATGAAAATTTGTCTTCAACCATTGATTAGTGTTAGTTAGTTGACTAAACCTAATAAAAAAAATAAAGATTAATGATAACATTTTTTTTTATTTTAAATATCATTTGGCATGCTATATAATAAATTAACCTTTTATGTAGTACATTAGGGACAATTAGACATTAAAATTCAACTTTTTTTGAGCATTAAATTCTTTTGGAAATTTTAGTTTAGGATAAAGATATTAAGCAGTTTAAACTCATATTGTTACATTCATTCATTTTTTAGATTTTTTTTTGCGATTATGTCAAAAATATCCACCTGGCGGCAAAATAAGTAACCACCGTCGCGTCATAATAGTACTGTTCATAACCTAGGGAAAGCCCTTTTAAATGACTTCAAGTTAATCAAAATGAGTTAAGCATTTTGGGAAATATGGTACGTATATTTACAAAAATATTCAACGCCACCACTGAAATAAAAATTTATGTCGAAACTCAGTTGAAGAGATTCGAACTTAAATTCGAGCACTTTGTTTTGGTCGCTGTTCTGGGACGCGCTGTATTAAATGTTTAAAGTTAAAAGGCAACCTTTAAAAACAATTTTGCTGGAAAAATTGTATTTCATTTATCAGATTTTTCAAGGTTTTAAAATGGTGCAATTTTTTTAACCAAATTTAAACTAAATTGCGGACCCGCAACAAACATTTTATTTTAAAGAACTGAACAACTTTAGTTGCTTAAGCTTAAAGTTTATTTATTATTAAAATATGTATATTCAATTATTAATTGCCATTATTTGATTTTTTTCTTTATTTTTTTGAGATAAAATCGATTTTTATGGGGCACACCGCTTTCCAACTCACTTTCATCAATTCCCGTTTTATTTTCTGCGTGGCTTTCGATATCCTTGGAAAACCATTCGTTGAATTCATCATGGGAGTCAAATAAAGTTGGCATAATAAAATGCAACAAGGCCCACAACTCCGCCATGCTATTCTGTATAGGTGTACCGCTAAGCAATAGCCTATTTCTGCAGCTGAATCCCAACAAAGTCTTCCACCTCATGGAACTTGTACTTTTAATGGCCTGTGCTTCATCCAAAATCATATACTGCCACTTTATCCTATTAAAATATTTAATATCTGTAATGACTATCTGATAAGAAGTAATTACAATATGAAAACTGGCATCTTTAGTATAAATATCCTTTTGATCCCAAAATTGTCTGAGAATTTTTCTCTCATTGGGGTTTCCCCAATAAGGGACGACCTTAAAACATGGAACGAATTTCGCTATTTCTTGCTGCCAGTTATGTAATGTAGATGCTGGGGAGATAATCAGAAAGGGACCCCAAACAGCTGAAAACAATGTAATTAATACAACAGAATTATTGGAAAAGAAGCACATACAATATTTTTCAGCTATATGACAGAGAAAAGCAATACTTTGAACGGTTTTTCCCAAACCCATTTCATCTGCCAATATTCCGCTAATACCTTGTGAATATAAATTTGCTAGCCAGTTCATGCCTTTTAACTGATAACCCTTCAATTTACCATGAAACATTTCTGGTTGAGGCTGTTCTCCATCTATAGGCTCGACTTCTGTTAAGCAGGAATTTGCTTGCTGGTCGAAATTCTTTGTTCTTGCTTTTTCACTTTTAAACGCGTCCTGGGCATTCTTTTTAGCTTTTTCTTTCATAGCCTCACTGTTGTAGTCATCGCCAGCAATTTTAACTGATTTTTCCTCATCTAGCTGACTTAAGATTCTTAGCTGTTCTTCTGCAGAAACTGTTCCTAGCTTTCTTGACATAAAGTGAGCATAAAGTTCAGTTTGAGTAATAAGAAAATTTAATTTCCTCTGCTGCCTTTTAGCTTCTATTAATTCATGATCAATTTTTCGTTGTTCTTCTGCCTCTTTTTCCAATCGTTTTTTCACTTCCCTATCAAATCTTCTGGATCGTTTCCAATACGCTATATTCTCTCTTGCAAGCCTCTTCATTCGCCACTGCTGCTCTTTAACAATTCGAGCAGATTGCAACTATTAAAAAATATACATATATATAGGTACACAGAAATAATAAAAATATTGTAAAAAATTACCGCTTTTTGTCTGGCATACTTAACACAATGAGAAGCAACTCTCTTACACTGCAGTAACATTTCCTTGTGCTTGTTGCTCTTGGCTCGATGCTGCTTACCAATTTCCTTTTTAACAATATTTATAAACAATTTTCTTCTCTTTATAGTCATCATGTCTTCCCATTTTTTCTTCGAATCTTCGTCCCGAAATTTTTTAGATCTCCGTTTTGTAATGCAATTATTTAGTAAATTTAAAGGAGGTGGTTTTGGAATTACCTGCATTAATATATTTGCTGAATTGCTATACTCAGTACTAATATTGTTTTCATCAATATCGCCATCCAAATTTGGATATTCATTAATTCCATTTTCAAGATTTAGGTCTAAGCATGGTTCATCCTATAAAACATCTGAGATATTAAAAAGGACAATAAAAATGATACATACTTATTACAGATATATCGTCCAATATATCAGGATCATATAATGGGGATTTTGAAGTGACTTCTTCTTTCACCCCTTGTACTTTGACTCTCCCTGATACTGGTAAGTTCTTCTCAATATCTGGATAATGATCTACAGCACTAATTAAACCTGCTCCATAAAACATAGAGTGGTCAAATTTTACATTATTTCTTCGAGTTCTCTTTTGAAAAGCGTGCATCTTAATTACATATTTGTATGGTACATCCTCCACAAAACCATCTATATTTTCTGATAAAACATTTTCCAGCCACTTTCTACTTGGGGAAACATCTTTGAAATTATAATAATCTTTGGCGGAATGTGGTTCCACATCTAAGCAATAAAAGGAAAACTTAAATAAGGATTAGAAAACATGAATTGATGGCAGACAGCACCTTTAAGAAGATTGCGAATTTCTTCACTGTCATTGATATTTGTATCATTACTGGATTCACTATCACTAGTTGATTGTTCATTATTAAATTGATTCAAAAATTTGTTTAAATCCAACGCCTTTTCCACTCTACGAACGTGTATAGGTTTTGAAGTACTTGCCTGGATATCAGGCATTTTTAATGTGACGTTATTTCCTAAAAATAATTTTTTGAAAACCTTAAAGTTATTTGCCACATTATATCTACCTAAAATAAGCTTGTACTTCGTATATTTTGCATTATTCTTGATATTATTTGCCATGATAATTTTAAGAATGGTTATAACTACATCTGGAACACCTAAAATGTAAAATATGTATTCTAGATTTAGTTTTTTCAACTTGACTTGAACATATTTTAGCTATCATAACCTATAATCATCTTGTCACACGGAAAATAAACACAATTATTGCCAACAAAATAACAAGAAAAACCTACAGCCAGCATTCCGTTGAAAAAATATCCCCAAAATGAATTGCCTGTGTTGGTATGCTGTGGTACTGTTTAGTTGCATAACCTATAATAATAACCTGCAATCAAAAACTTGAAATTTTATTTACAATTTCATAATGTGGTACGAAATTCTACCCAGTTTAACACTTGTTGGAATGTTTGCGGGAATTCCTCACGTGGCAGGATATGTGATGAACAAGCTGGCTCTCGGAAATGTAAATCTGCATGACATGTTTATTATATAATATTCTTGATAATTATTGCTTGTGGTTGCAGATGTACCGAAGAAGTCTTCTTACACCTGAAGAAAGGTTACAATACATTCGCGACACTCGCTTAAGCGGAAATCCATATGTTGTGCAAGGTCTGGAAGTAATTCCAGATGAGTAAAAAAATGCATCATATGCTGTTAAGTAGCAGCAAAATAATTGTGGTTTTTAGTGGAAATCTAACTACATATTGCAGTTTACCGCAATGCTTTTTATAGTGTACCACCCAATTCTTATGTTTATGCTTTAAACAATATAAAATTTGAAAATATATTGTGGTTTCTTAGGTAAAGGTTAATTATAAACAGGAAGCCATGTAGTTTATGTAGTTTTCAAATACACTTGGTTGATGGTAGAATACTTGGCAATTTTGTAAAAAGTGGACTGGAAAAAAAAATAAAACAAGCCAGATAGACTAATTTTTTTAATTAAATTATTTACAGATAAATAAATTATGGAAGCCATGAACTTAATATACCGCATAAACAATGGAAATACATACCTAAAAAGCAGTTTATGGTGGATGTAAAAAATAATTTGTTTTCGAGTAAGTCTTTGAACGAGTCTAATTATTAAATTAAAATGTATATTCGAATACACAACAAAAAATTAATGTAAAACAATAGATATTCCCCTAATACTAAAAAAAAAAACAGATTCTCCCATTTTGCTTTTATTTTAAACTTACAATGATCCACCATATATTTTAAATAATACCAAATGTTTTTTAAAACATTGGCTATTCTAGTTAAAACAACTTCTCGCACATAATAATCCTTTATATCGTTAAAAGAATTAACCACTGAACAACCCCATCGAGTTTAAAAATCAAAACAATCAAGACAAGCTAACACTTTTTAAATCAGCATTATGGATAAATGAAATTTATAAAATAGGAGAAGCATGCCCAAACTATTTTGTTTGTAGTTCACAATAAACTTTAATTTGCTCAGGCAGTATTCGTTTTGTATTGCTTACATTGCAATTAATTACAAGTAATTAACAATCTGAAATTCCATTATGAGATTACACGCAAATATACATTAGAATAAATATCACAAAATGGCGAATCTGTATCAACCAGTTAAGTAGAATAAGCAAAATTCAAACTTCAAATAGCAACGAAATAATCACAGATAATTTGTGAACTGACCTAAGGAGCAAGGCAGAGATCTTAAACCAATTATTTTCTAACTTGGTAATTTTGTATATCATTTCGATCTCTACATTACTCCCTAAGTATAAGGACAAAATGTATGAATATTTTTTGGTGTTTAAAACACGAAATAAAGAAAATTGATATGTACAAATACATACAACTGATTAAGCGGCATCTTAAATAAATATTCGGAAGATGTTTTCAGTTTTGATATAATTCACTTTAATCTTACTTCTATTGCCTACAAATGAATCACGTGCATATATTTTCATTAAAATATCAGCACGGAAAGCAGATGAATAAGCTTTATTGTCTAATGGGATCGAGACAACATATGTGACAAAAAATTAAAAAAAAAAACTAGAAATTGAAATTTTCAATTGATGAGTGGCCAAATTATTCTTGTTTGTTGAAAAACGAATTTTGAAGCTACATATATTAATTTAGTGATGCTTAATGCTTAAACGAACAGTGCGAAAGTTCAGGCTAAGTCAGAACATGAATAACTGCTTATTAATACAACAAACTATTCTGAAACTGTAAATTGAATCTAAAGGCTTTACACATTCTCGGAGAAAGTGAATAGAAGGAAAAATTGAACAAAATCTTTTACAGTCGATTTTTTTCTTCACAAAAAAATTGTAAGTACCAATTGCACTTATATAATACAGGAGAGTATTGAACCGAGACAGTCTTTAATAATATTTATATATTTACACGAAAACAGCGATACGGCAACACCTAAGACAACAGACACAGGTACATTAATACAGAATTAACACGAGTCAGTGTAAACAGCGTGTCCCAATAACAAGGCTATATGGGGGCTGGACTTTTATACATACAATTAAACATAGAACATTATAATGGAAAATATAGACACTAGCATGTAGGGAAAATTAATTTGGATAGCTATTTTCTTTTGGATATAATATCTTGGATATTAATATAGACATGAATAGCTTCCCAAGAACTCTTAACATTTGAATTACTGTTGAAGTAGTAGATTTTAAGTAAATTTCCCAAAGAGTTGAGGAATCTTTGGTTAGCCCCCAATATGACAAAAACCCACTCTCAACTTTAAAACCAATCGTTTAATAAATAACGCATTTAGAACTAGAACGATGTTCTCGTTACAGAAAATCACAGATTTACATTGGTGACAAAAACACCTCTATATATACAGAACACGCACAAATAACCAGGCCGGCAAAGTTTTAACCTCCATCACCAAGTATTATTAATCCTCCTATATATTTGGTTTGTAAATGTGATTTTAAAATGAAACAAGTATTATATTATGTGTGCTTCGGGCGATTTTTGCTCGAGGTTCTCGAATTAAACACAGATTTTACATTCAAAATAGACATTTGGTTTCGAAGACTATTTTCTAAAACCATGAAATTTGCATTTAAAATATAAACCTTATTTTTTTTAAATGCCTCATCCCTTTATTACTATAGCATTTTATGGGTCATTGATGGTACTGCGGTTGATGAAAGGGCAAATGTCATTTTCAAATAGTGTTATCAGACATTTTTCATTGGTTGCTTTTGAAACTGTAAAGTCACCAAGCAGTACTACTTAAAATTGACATTTATCGGTTATTTTCTTGGAGGAATCCATGTTACGAAATGGCCCTTCATACGAGTTCAAGGTTCCAGTGGTTAAACACACCATTTTCGTTTTACCTAGGTTAGGATTAGGAATAATCTCAGGGTTTCAAAATTTAAAATTCTTGCAATTGCTATTTGACAAAAAGAATTACATGTATAACATTTTGGTAACTTTTTAACCATGGACATATAAATAACAAAAAATAAATCTTACCAAATAGTCACTTTCAAGAAAGGGATGGAATGTAATGTATACAAATTTATTAATAAATAATGCAAGAATTAATTTTTTTCTCGACAACATTTTTTTGTAATTAGAAATATCTTTAACTAGACAGTTTCATTGAGCGATGCCATATTTTGTCTGCGCATACGCATAAGTCACATTTTGACGTTACTTTGACTATTTAATGATAAACTTTTGCAGCCCCTCTGCAAAAGAATAACCGATACACAGGGTATATCATGATAAAATGCTGATCACTTTGAGAAAAAAAGGTTACAACAGTCGCTTTAGTTTTGATATACAGGGTGTTGCAACTATTTAGTAAAAAAAAACGATTTTTCCTCATGTTCATTGAAAATGCTTCAAAAATTTTGTTGATTGTTTGTTAGAGACTCGCGTTGCATAGAACCAATGCTAGTTCTTCACACATAACTGTAAATGAAATAACTTTTTCTTTTCTTTTTAGTTTTTCTTATTCAATAATAAATTAGGATTGTCTAACTTTGAATTTAATTAAAACAATTTTCAATAAAAATTAGGAGCACCCCGTTATTTTTCATTTCAACACCCTGTATATCAAAAATAACGCGATTGGGGACCACATCGATATAAACTTTTTTTCTTCAAATCATCCAAGGATTAGCATCTTATTATAAAATAGCCTGTAAAAGTTGTCCCCCAACATCATCATGAAAATGAACAAGTAGCTTTGTCATTTTGAAAGAACCACGTTGGCAAATAAAGTCTTATAAAAAAAAAGGAATGAGTCGCATCTTTTGACTTACTTTAATGACCCGCAAAGCTAAATTTCCTGAACTATAAAAACCTGGGAGTGGGGTGGTGGTAAGAATCAGATCTAAGGTGTGGATAAGTGGAGGAAGGTTGGTACAAGCGGTACTGGTGCAAAGAAGGGCGATGAAGGGTGGGTAGGACGCCGCTACCAAGACTGCCACTGTGCATCCGTGCGGTCCCGTCACCGAGGTCTAGCTCGAGCTCTTGTTGCTCCTGAACTTGCATTTGACTAATGGCTGCCGTGGCCATGGCTACGTCGGGCATAATGTCCGACAAGTGACCGTCGCTGCAAGAACTACTTTCCGGTTCAGTGGAAAATCTTTAAAAAAAACGAAAGCAAAATTAATATGAACAATCATCAAAATGAACACTCCGCTAATCCAGATTGGTCTCAAAATTGTACCTCTGTAAATGAGACATTCATAGGAAAACCATCATCAGTCCGGAAGCGTCTTTGATATAAACAAAAATATGGGTAATATAAGAAACTTTGTGCCCAAATAATATCAAGATACTCAATTTTTTTTCATTAGAAAAATGCACAGTTAGGCAAAGGGCATGTAGATATATATATAGACATAGTTTTACTTTGCCATTTATTGTACTCTAATAATTATGAACATAAGCTGGGGAAAACCAACTGAAAAGATCCGTGTCACAATTAAACGGCACAAGCTGAGAGATAGACTACCTCATGAAACAATAAGAACTTTTATAGGGCAGGTGTTATGCTTACCCCGTTTTAAAAAGCCCAATGTATTCACAGTTCCTTTATACTATTTTTAAGAAACTATTGGAAAATATGCACATTTATATCAGAATCGGAGAACAAGGGACCACACTACAAGGCTATAAAATCCTATTAAGTACTCTGCCTCCTAATAATCAAAATACAGTGATCAATTTTTAAAAACATTGATTACATTAAACTGAAATGCTGTTGGAGAAAATTATTAAAACGATTAAAAGAGCTCCCCTGTTCAGGATAATAAAGTTTTCCTAGCCAATTGAAAGTAATTAAAAGCATAATTTTGTTGCCTAATTATATTTCAAGGAAATTTTTTGTTTGTAATTTACAGTAATATTACTTAAGATGTGCACTGTTCTGCCGTTATTGCGTTGTTTCCTTCAATCTTTTATTTGATTTTTAATTTTTAATTAACAAAATAGAAAACCTACAATTCAAAGTAGGTTAAGAACAATACTAGGTCGGATATAAAATAAAACAGAATAAACTTTAGATCAAAAAACACGTTTTAAATTAATAATAGAAGTATTCAGAATAAACTTTAGATCAAAAAACATGTTTTAAATTAATAATAGAAGTATTCAACCAATAGAAAACTAAAATAAACTGGTAATATTAAATAAAGAAGTGTGGAGAACCTAAAGCAGTGTATTTAATATTTCTCGAGTTACATAAATCAATATTGCAATTTGTCGTGTTTTCAATGTTGAACACTCTTATTTTAAACAATATGAAAACAATGCAACCATTCCTAATTTTATTTCCAAACTACCCCCCAGCCTAATAATAGTTTATGTAAAAACCATATTTCATGTAAAAAACATATTTGCAATATTTAATGGACCTTTAATGCCATAAGGAGTGTTTTTAATTTTACTAGTTTGAAAACGTTTTTTTAAGTTATAGTTATAGACCCAATGAAATTTACGTTAAATACGATAAAAATGATAATAGAGGAGGTTTGCAAGTTGTCTGTGTGATAATGTACCACGTTTTCAGATAATAAAAAAACAAAAAGCGAACCTGAAGTCTCCATCTGGTACCAAAGCGGGTAACTCTTGTCTATGAGTAAACGCGGCACCGCTGCCTCTCGGGAATGTCATTGAAGAGTTATTTCCGTATCTGCTTCCTCTACTTTTATTAGGAGATTTGTGTATTTGGGCTTCGGTTCCCACTTCATTGTCACTCAAATCGGGAACGCAATAGCAGTTTTCTAGCATGTCCGCGACGGGATCGGGTAAATTAAATTCTCTGACTACTCTCAATCTAATTTGGCGATTAATTTCCTGTCGTGAAGATAAAGGCATATTCAAGGCTCGTTGGCAACTGGGAGACTGGCGTAATTTTTGCTCCCGTTTTAACATCGCGTTCATAACAGCAGGATCGGGAACTGGCAGTGCCGATGCCAGGACGTCCACTCCTGCAGGTCCGTGCGAAGCGGCTCGTGGTTTATCTTCCACCATGTACAATGTATCCGGGATGTCTTGCATATATCTATAATACAATAGTAATAATCTTTATTGCATAGGCATCGTCTGTTTTTCACGTAATAACCCTTGAAAAGCAGCTTTTTGATCAAAATTGCCCTCTATCAGCGATGGAATTATTTAATGACATCTGTAAGCATATGCTTTCTGTCTTAGTCGCTCATATTTTTGGTTAGTTATTTTTTTACAATGAATGTAGTATATTATGAGCTTTTATTATTATTATAGTGGAGCTGGACGGAATATAGTTGAATAGTTATAGTTTATACATGTTTATACATGTGTACTCTGTAATGAATAAAAATCATAAGTAAAAAACAAAAATAATCACCAGAGTCGTCATTGAAATTAATTAAACAATGATTTATGTCGTTTTGTATAGAAATGTAGGAGCCCTCAATTTTTATTATGTACTGAATGTCTCCAGCTCTGAATTTGAATGTAATTAATTACATGTTTTTATCAAATTTATAACCCTGGGAGTTAAACGCCAACTTTAAGTCCCAGGGTTATAAATTTGATGAAAAAAATGTAATTAATAACATTCCAATTCAGAGTTGGAAAAATTCAGTAAAGCAAATTATAAAAATTGAGGACTCCTACATATATTCTTGGAATTCAGTTTTCGTTGATGTGGCTGGTGCTTTGCGTAGCAGACGGCTGTCGTAGCTTGCGTTATCCACTGTTATTGGGAATATTTTTTAAAAAATTGTTTTAAAACCAATTTTCAAAAAGTTCGGTACTTATATCCTCATGATAAGAAATATACCAGAGATGAAATTCTTAAGAGTTATTGAGTCAAAAAAATGGCCCAAAATGAGAAACACGAAAATAAAAAGAGACCTAGAAGCGCCGGGTGTGTCTAATATACTTTTCTCAAAACCCGAAACAAATTTTTAGTATTCTGTGGACTCAACATCAACTTTGAAAATTTAAATGAACAACCTAAGTTTTTGAATTTAGTGGTAAAAACAAAGGTAAATTTCGTCAAACTGACCTCTAAAATTTTCGCAAAGTTTAGGAAATATTGTTATTGATAAATCAGCATATTAAAAAAATCCGCAAAATTGATATTAGGCTGACTAATAATATTTATAGACGGAATATATACACCCAAGACTTGTTTTTTTGTTACTGTATGAGTTTCGAAAAATTATAATATGAATATCTCAATTTTTTTAATGGCATACCCTGTATGTCACATTTTTAGTAAAACACGCTTAAAGAATTTTATATTCTTATATATTGAAATTGTAGAATTAAATGACTCTTTCTCTTTTTTTTCCATTCTATTTAAAAAAAGCACTAATTAAAAATATTTATCCAAGACAAAAGCATTTTATTTTGCATCTAGAAAGATTTAAATGTCAATTATTGCAGAAAATGAATAAATGTCGAAGATTTCTAATTTAGTAGATAAGTAAGATTTGAGAAAAAAAAAGGACAGAAAAGAAAGAACGAAAAGAAGGATTGTAACAAGAAATAAAAAAGAATGTGCAAAATTTTCACATGAAAATTAAACCAGTGATAATCAAAAATAATATTGAAGGTATAAATGTAGTACATTAATTGTAACAAACCTACACTGTTATGGAATAGTAACAAAGATTAACCTCCACTTAAGTGATAATTTCATCCTAATGTCTATACACTATAAATAATGATAATAATAATAATAATAATAATTATTATTATTATACACACGCTACACTTCGCCCTGCATATATTTATATTTTTCGTACATTTATACTTTGATTATGAATAAAGAATAAATAAATAATATAATAATTATAATAATAAAATAAAAGTATACAAAAAATAATGGTTTGTATGGGATAAAAGTACTTTTTTTTTGGTTGTGGCTTTTTCCAGATTTTTGTCGAATGTTTATGCGTAAAGTGTAAATAGTAATTTGTCATACTCTTTGTTAAGTTTAACACACTGTTTTTGTTTTGTAATAGGGTTGGTCCCGTTTATGAATAAATGAATTATTATTTAGACACTTTAAAATTGAAAGACAAAATTTTATAAATAAATATTGAGAAAACATTATAATTTAAATTTTAGACACAAAAGTTTTCTTAAATAGGCAGAAAGTGTAAATAGTGGAAATAAGGAAATTAGTTATAATCAAGAGGAAGGTCACAATGGGTATACCTTAAAAACACACTTTTTATATTTAAAAAAAAAGTATTTTTTTAATTAGATGTCAACATAACTTTAAAATATGTATGGTTAAGCAGTCTTAAACAAGCTATGTATAAGATGTGTATCTGTTTGCTGAATCCATCTTTTTATTATAAATGGTATATATAAAAGCACTTGCCTGGCTCTTCTCATCCTCATCATTTCAACTTCCTGAACCAATTGGTCTTCAACCAACACTTTCACTTCGTCATAGTACGGCATGAACAAACGTGGCTGAACGAAGAGTCCATTATTTTTGTTCCCGCGGATCCAGGCATTTACTCTCAAATTTTCCCGTTCTCCTCCAATCATATGACTAGGTGGGGTACTGACTAAACCTCTACGAATAGCTTGACTAAGGATATCGCTATTTGGAGGAAGAACGTGATCCATCCTAACTAAAGGCAATAAATCAGACAATATTTCTCTTAATTCTATATCGCTCAAATCCCTTTTCTTTACTCCCTTCCTTGCGACAGAGTGGGCAGTATGACTGACAATATTTGGTTCTACAACAATATTTAAACAATAATTTATATTTGCTTTACTATATTACAAGATCAAACCTCGGTCTTCCATTCTACGAATCAGTTCATTTTCACCCCATTTTAGGACAGCGTGCAATATTTCCAACTCGCTGGCTTGCAAAAAGGGACTCTTCAAAACCTCAACTATATGCGCTTTATCCAAATGGTGCAACACGGGGGATTGTGCCACGGGCTGAAATTCTTCCCGCAGGAAATGCAAAGCCTGGAAGTAAAACGGTATAGAGATGAAACTTTCAAAACTAGTCTCATACCGACCTGTCTATGAACCCAAGCAGACCCGTGGGGTTGTTTGGACCATTGCAAAACTGTCGGTAGGGTATCCAAAGATAGCCATTCTAATATTAAATCTTCACAACCCTGAGCGAGTATGTCAAGTTCCAAAAACCTTCCGATTTGGTATAGCTCCATAGCTTCTTCCAAAGGGGACGGTCTAACCCGACCTGTGTGAGCTAATGCTTGGGCCTCCCCTAATCCACCACATGTGTTACGCGATATAAGTGACAGATCTACTTGGTCAAGGTATATTGCATGTAGTAACACTCTGGCATACCTACAAATTTATCAATTTACTTTTACTGATTTTAGCAAAATGTAAAAATAAACCTATAGGTAATAGATAAATACAGGCCAATGGTGACACCAGAACGACTTTATAGGGTGAACAATAAACACTTGATAATGGAATTATTGAAAAAAAGAACTACTTGCCTCTTAGGAATAACAGACTCATCTAAAACAATCCTAGTAGCAATGTGTAATGCCCTTTCAGTATGTTCCTCGCCACTCCTAGAGCGCCTCTGCAAGAGGTTTCTAAAAAAAGGCGATCGTGCAGATAATATAGCTTTGTGACAGGGTAGTTCGAGTTTTGGCCTAAATCCGTATTCTGAACTACCCGAATCGGGCCTTTGACAGTCTGAGCCGTCGGAGGTAAAAACTAAAGCGGCGTCAGAATAATCACCAGTCTCGAGTAAATAACGAAGATCTGCCTCTAAAGCGTTTGGTGTCCCAAATTCCTCCCTCAGTCGTCGTAACAAGTTCATATCAATGTTAGTGTTATGAGGACAGATGTCACCTAAAGTTTCCATTGACTACTACCCTATAGTGCCAAACTAGAAATACTTACCAGTATACAAATATCTCAGCAGTGCAGAAAAAAGTGGTACATCGACCATAGCTGTTCTCAATTCCAGACAAATCCGGGCTCCATACCCAGGGCATCCCGCCAGTAAGTCTCTAAAATATGGGCACCTAGCAGAAAGTAAGGCCCGATGAATAGGAAAACAGGCTCCTCTATAGACTAAATCTGCATCAGTACAATATTTGAAGTCATATAATGCCGATAAGTCTTGTTTGAATGTGGCCGCTGGAGGTCTAGCCAACTCAGCTTGCACACAGAGATCTTTCAAAGCCGCCAAAGCTTCATATTCTTCAAGAAGGGCGGCAATTTCTAAAGGACTCCAGTCAGATACCAGTTCCCTCAATATCCTACCATGATCGCAAGCCTTTGAAGACCTTATAAAATCAAACTTGTAATTCTAGTTTCCAATATGTTGAAGTAAACCAACCTTCTTCTCCTAATAAACTTCTTTTTTAAAGTGGCGAATCCAGTCACTCTTTTTTTCTTTTCGCGAGCAGAACCAATTGGGTCCCTAAGAGGTTGACTATAGGCAGGGTCTAACCCCAATGAGCCCTGCGTTGTACTAGGATCACCTCCTGTTATAGACGATGCCGTCACTCCCATCCTAGTAGAAATGAAATTCTCTGACATACAGTGTTCGTGGCCGACACTCCACCAATTGTGCTGCAGGGCACAAGGAAAAAGGCAACCAAATAAGTTCATAGTGCGCCCAGACTTCTGCCCGACATGCAGACACAGCCTATTGTATAAACGGTTCCAGTTAGCATCTCATTAAGGCACATTGTAAAGGTATTTCAAATTCAAAGTAAAATATAATAAACCTACAATTCTTTTTCTATAGCAATAATAAAATAAGGCACGGTAAAATAACAAACATATTTCTTGAAATACAACACGTAACTACCTAAAAGGTGTCGGAATTTAAATGGAATGTTTTTTTTTTACTTTTTTTATTTATTTCACCAGTGGTTAATAAAAGTTTATATGGATAATTCTTTTAACACGCTACTCTATAAAAAAATATATTTACTGACCTTAATTAAGATAAGGTGAAATGATTTCACCTGTAGTGCGGTAAACACTACATTTTAATTTTATTTATAGAACCTGTCAAGTAACGACATATTCCAAAGGTAATGGTAAAAAATATCTTTTTTTATAGAAGGAAAACACGCACGATCAAATACAATTTGTAAACAATACCTACAACCTTAAAAGGCGTAAATTGATATTTGGACCAGTCATTTTAAATGTCATCTGTATTGAGGGCAAGAAAGAAAATTCATTTTCGGGCCTACAGAAACATTATACATAATTCATCAACACAGGGAACAAAACACTTTAAAATTCATTATTCGCGCACATAACATGTTTGACCCATCTTCTACATAAAATTATCCCAGGTATCACATTGTTCAATTCGATTTTCAACGATGCGAAAAACAAGGAGGAGCTAAATAATCGCAACATATAATGCTAAATACCTGGGCGTCGAATAACGATCTCCATAGCGACAATTTCGTCCTAGCACACCACAAAACGCATCACTAGAATTTTAAACAATTTCCCAAGTGGCCATGTTTATTTCCACGAAGTGCAAAACACCAACCATATCTGCCACATAAATACAAATTTCTAACCACTGCATTTATCATCATTAAATATAAATTGGTTAGTTAGTTCGCACATTGTAAAATAACTTTCTGTATTTAATATTTAACGATTAAACACAAGGTAAATAGATATACAGGAAACACAGCATTTAGGCCAAACGAAAGATTTTTCTATTCACTTTTCTGCTTTGGAGCAAGACAAGTCGACAAGTTCGATGCACGATTGTCATTGTCAAAAGTTCGTTGTCCCGAGCAGTCACATTTGAGCGACTTTTCTCATAACTCCGTTTATGATTTATATTTTTTAGATCTGCTGATTTTACGGTTGTATAAAACCGGAATGATAAGTTGAAATTATATTGTTTTGGAAATGAAAATTGCATGCTGCAATTCTGTTGCCGCACCTTTTTCTTATTTGGTGTTAACAAAGGAGGGAAATATGTTCCCGCCTGGTCCTTTGAAATTTTATTAATGATTTATTAGGAGTGTCTACGGGGGTTGGAATGGACTAAAAACTAAACCGATATGAATCTGTATATTATCGATTATAAGTTTTTTTTGGGTGGACCAAGTTCATGCAGACATTAGGCTTCCTTTAATCGATGGCCAACAGAATAACAACGTCTTTAATTTTGCAAAGAAATCTTGAGGGGTGTTATTATGGTAGCGTCAACATAAATTCATATAGCATATGTACGATTTATCTGTGTATACATCATAAACTTAAATTATGATACAAATTCATGGTGGTGGCGCATTTTTTTTGACTGCCTACTTACCCTATCAAAATTAACAGAAAATGAACACGCGCAGTTGTTAAAATTATTTTGCAGTCTATGTTTATTTATATTTTTGTTTATAAATTTGCAATATTCTTTATTCATTATATAAAAATTGTGTTACAGTGTCTCCCTGTGGGTGTGATTATATCATTTCCCGTGTATTAAATACCTTTATCAAAATCAATCTTGAAGTGTTTTAATAAATAAAACCAGGAAAGTTGTTTTTAAATTTAGCCCGCTCGTGGCTTGACCAATGAAAATTTAACAATTTGTTAAAAGTTATAAGACATTTGGCCAATAGCGGAACGACAACGCGAATCGTGACGCATGACAAGTTGATATAAAACAAAATACTTCCAGCCACGTTAAATAGCTCTGGGACTTGTGTCTTTGAGTTGCGTTGACCGCGAAATAACATAGCTGAAGTAATAGAAAGTACCCAAAATGTTGTTAAAATTCTTCGTTATTGCGTTAATATGTGCTTCGTGTATTGCAAAGGAGGAAGATGTTCTAGAATTTTCCGACGATGATTTCGATTCAAGACTAGCCGAACATGAAACTGCCCTGGTCATGTTTTACGCACCATGGTAAATATAATCGTTATTTTTATAGTCATATCGTAAAAATGGGACATTTGAAAACAAAATATTTCAATGTATTTTGTGATTTTTATTGCTAAGTTATTATTTTACCGGCACCTATTTATAACCTTCAATGTAGTTCAGAGTAGCTTGATTTTTTTTATAAAGGTGTGGACATTGCAAAAGACTAAAACCGGAATACGCAAAGGCGGCTGAGGAACTTATACGAAACGACCCTCCTGTAGCACTCGTGAAAATTGATTGCACTGAGGCTGGAAAAGACACTTGCACCAAGAACAGTGTCAGTGGGTACCCAACATTGAAAATCTTCCGGAATGGAGAGTTCTCGCAAGAATACAATGGACCTAGGGATGCAAATGGTAATAATTTGGTGGATTGTTAACTTTTTCTATCTCAGGCTAGAGATCAGTATATCCAGTAAACACTTCATAGAGCTGATAGGGATCATTCTTATCAACATTAATACTTACCAAGGTGGAATCAATATATAAAACCATGTTAATTAATGGTCAGCCCTACAAGTATAAAGTTCTGCATTACCAACAGATTTTTTGTCAACAATAAGAAAGTGTAAAAATGCCACAGGTTAGAATTTTATTAATTAGTTGGAATTGCAACATTATTTTTGAATTTTTAATGAATTATTCAAAACAACTCCGAAGTCCGATTTTTTTAGAAGAATTCCCTAAAATAAAATAGCAACAATAGCTTTATTTTGATTGATTAATTGATCTCTTATTTTATACCGCAAAACGCGCAGTTTTTTGCATTTTATTTACTTATTTTGCCATTCCTTGTATTTTAATTGAATCCACTGTGAATGTATTGCGCAACTCTCTTGTTTTTCAATAAAGGCGAAACTTTTTTTGAGGAGTTAATTACATTAATTTAAGAATGTGTAGTGCCCTCAATTTGAAAATGCATTTTTTAAAATAAGGCGAAATTCTGAGTTTTGTTACAGAATTGCGTAAATAATGTCGGAATTCCGACTTTGTTACGTAATTTGTAAACCTTCAATTTAAAATAAGTCATATTTTGAAATATGTGCATATTTATTGAATTTAATGAAATAACACATATTTGCAATGTCTCAAGCGGTTTTGAAAATATGTGTCACTGTTTATTTCTTATATAAAACTCTTGAAATTCTAATTTCGTTGAATGATTGAAGGTATTGTCAAGTATATGAAAGCACAAGTCGGTCCAAGCTCCAAAGAACTATCAAGTGTGAGCGACTTAGACCAATTGCTAGCGAAGGAAAAGGAACCCGTTGTGGTGGGATTCTTTGAAAAGGAAACAGACCTCAAAGGTGTATTTTTAAAAGTTGCTGATAAATTGAGAGAAAAAGTAAAGTTCGCACATACATCGTACAAAGAACTTGTTGAAAAATATGGTGTCAAGTAAGAATTATTGACAATATTATCGATATGGTAACTACACTTGGTATCCTTTTCAGAGATGGCGTTGTCCTATTCCGTCCGAGCCATTTGAAAAATAAATTTGAGGATGACAGTGTTGCGTATAAAGGAAAAGCAGAGTCAAGTGATTTGAATGATTTTATTAGCAAAAATTTGTAAGTTTCTGCTATTTACCTTGATCCCGTCGTTTTCTAATTTCTCTGTTTTTAGCTATGGCTTAGTCGGGGTCCGGGTCTCTGGAAATCAAAGGGAGTTTAAAAGTCCCTTGGTTGTTGCCTACTATGACGTAGACTACGTGAAAAATCCAAAGGGCACCAACTACTGGCGCAACAGAGTGCTTAAGGTATAACGGCATATGAATTCTTCTTACCCACATTTCGTAATGCTTACTTTTTTTATTACTAATTTTATTTTTTCTCTTAAGTGAGTTTCCTCTATATCAACGTATAATTTTGAACAAAAAATGAGAATATATCGGTTTAATTTAATTTTTAGTACTGTATTCCTTTGGTGTTCTTAATGTTACAGTGGAACAAGATAACTCATTATTTTGATTTGTTTTTTTATATATGCTGCATTTAAACAATTTTTTTATATTTCAGGGTGTATGTTTCTTAATAGGGTCTTTGTCTTACTTGTTTTCATTCACAGAAGCTTTCGCCAATTTGTATTTTTCATTAGTAAATGTCAACATTGATGTGCTATATAGTTTTTCTAATTATTAGAGACTATTTAATGAACTCATTGATTCTTTATTATCAATGTATATATAACCTATAATCTTTTACACATTTCCCTCTGATTGTGTGAACACTTGAAATAATCAGTTTTGCTAATTAATTTTCCGAAAACTTACTGGGCCTAATATTTGTAAGGTATGTTACGATTTTCATCAACAAGTAGTCTCCGATAATTAAAACCACACAAAAACTGAAACAACCCTGACATCATTATCGTAATTATTAAAATGTTTGTTTTATATTTCATGGTGTTTTTTGCTTAATGTAGAATTGTTGCATCATATCGTTTAAATTTATCTTTTTTTTTTTCGCAAATTATATATGCGATTTTTCTTAGGTCGCAAAACAATTTAATGGCAAAGTAACGTTCGCCATCAGTCCGAAGGACGACTTTACTCACGAACTAAACGAATTTGGTATAGATTTCGTCAAGGGCGACAAACCCCAAGTCGCTGGTAGGGATGCCAAGGAAAGAAAGTTCGTCCTCAAGGACGAATTCTCGTGAGTGAATTAACGACGAGAAAAGAACGACTTACATAATAAATTGATTAAATTTAGGGTCGAAAATTTGGAAAAGTTCGTCAAAGATTTGCTGGGCGGCAAGTTGGAACCCTACATCAAATCGGAACCGATCCCGGAGAGTAACGACGCCCCCGTTAAAGTGGCGGTCGCCAAAAACTTCGACGAACTCGTGGTGAATAACGACAAGGACACCCTTATCGAATTTTACGCCCCCTGGTGCGGACATTGCAAAAAATTGGCCCCCGCTTATGACGAGCTCGCGGAAAAGGTCAGTTTCGGTCTCGATATAAACGAATATTAATTGTTGTAACTATGAAAATTTAGCTCAAAGAAGAAAACGTGGTGATCGCCAAGATGGACGCCACAGCGAATGACGTTTCCTCACCGTTCGAAGTTCACGGCTTCCCAACCATTTACTGGGCCCCCAAGGGATCCAAAGATAGTCCCGTCAAATATGAGGTAGCTATAGTCATTTTACTTATTTATTAAAAATTAGTTACTTCCATATAATTTTTAATTTGATTTTATAATTTTTATCAGTTATGGGCTTATTTTTATTGTCAATAAAATTTAATATTTTTCCCTTTTTCAAGAAATAAAGAAATTGGTTAGTAGGTTTAGGTAACTAACTGATATCTATATTTTGAATTTCTAATTATAATTATTTCATTCTCGATTATACTTTTTATTTATTTATTTTTATTAATAAAGATCATTTATTATTATTATGAAGAATACCCAAAAACAAATTAATATTTCTTAGTTGCCCCTTCATAGCCTAGCCTATATGTGCACAATAATTTCTTCAAGTTTATTTTAATATTAACAATAAATGCAATAACTAGGTATCTTATCACTACAAGAGAGCTTACTACTCTGTAATCACTAGTTTTCAGCCATTTTTTTTAATTCCATTTGTGCATTTGTAGTAGGAGTTAGATGGATTTGAAGTTGTTAAACTATTATAAATCTTCGGTCCTATTTTGAGCCCAGGACTCTCAAAAACACCATTTTTATTTCATATATTTTGGGTGTGAAGTCCATAAGTTCATATTTCAATAATTTCAATAATCAGATGTTAGAATAAACCTTATAACAGGTTTAGTATTTAACTGATCCATTATTATTAAGTCTTAATCTATGAATACTCTGTAGGATATCTTTATATTTGAATAGTAATACTTTTAGTAACCATTTCTGTGACACTTCTAGTTTTTTTTAAAAATATTCCCATTCACTATCCCATAATTCATTATTAATTAACCACGGTTTTATAGTTTTATCTTCAGTCTCGCCATGTGGCAACTTCAACCTCTATGTTTCAACTAAACTCGCTCTCAAATTTTGGTTATGTTATGAATGGAATATAAATTTGGTGCTCCTCAGTATTCCAGTTTGTGTCTAAATTCTTTTAAATAGCTTTTGTGATCTAATTTTGGATGATTTCAAGAACTCTGTACATCATTATCGTTTATCATTCCAGGGTGGCCGCGAGGTGGATGATTTTATCAAATATATAGCTAAGGAGGCAACGGACGAATTGAAAGGTTACGATAGGAAGGGCAATCCCAAGAAATCCGATAAGACTGAACTTTAACTTGTACGTAATATTTATAACGAGCAAAGTGTTTTTTAGGAGTTTTAAACGGTGTGCGCCACGTGAGTGAAATATTTGTACTTCACAATAGAATTCCCCGATTTATTTTTGTATGCAGTTGTGCGCCTTAAATTTGTTTCTATTTCTCCGAACTATTGTGAAGTTTTTATATCAAAGTGTATTAAAAGAGAATTTAGGTTGTTATTTAAGTTGATATTATTACAAAAGACAAGTTCGCAGTTCACATGGCTAAAAACGGTGGGGTTGAAAATTAAATGTGATTCTTTTTTTCAAATAAATTAATTGTACCACACATGTTTTTCATTCTCTTTGGCTTGGTTTGGTCAAGTAGTTGAGAAAAAAGCAAGAATAAGCATTTAAACGTTTTATTGTTTAATTATTAAGAAAAGAAAATAATGATTTCTGAAAAGTGTAATCGCTCTTTAGTCGCCATAGATGCGTTTTGTAACAGCTATGCGGAATTTACATTGAACAACAATACGAGTTGTTGCTCAAAAAGTTGTTAATTTTAAACTCAACTCAAATTTAAATTTGACTCGTGTAACCAAAATGTTTGATGATTGTACAAATTATTTAAAACTGTCTGTTATTTTTTATTAAAAAAGATAATATTTGAACTTGATGTTAATAACTTCTGAACTTTATATTGCTAATCGTTCTAGAGCGTTTTGCAACAGCTAAGCGGATTTTACACGGACAACTTTTGATATCGACTTATTAACCAAGATATCGGAAGTAGCTGTTAAAAATTTCTGAAAGGTTTAATTGCCTTTTAGTTATTATAGAGCCTTTTGAAACAGCTAAGCGGATTTTACACGGACAACTTTTGTTACAATTTTTTTGCTCAAAAAGTTTTTAATTTTTAAACTCAACTCAAATTTAAATTTGACTCGCGTAACCAGATTGTTTAATGAATTAGCAAATCATTAAATTATGTTATCTGACGTCTATAGTGTTATAAGTTATATTAATATATTTTATGTGTGGCAGTAATAGGTAATATATGTATTTAGAGTGTGATTTTCATCATGGATACATAACTAACTATTACAGCATCTTCGCTCTCCTATATATGGCTATGGCTTCATTGGTTGAGTTTTTAACCAAAAGTTTACATATACAGGGGGTTATTGAAATAACGGCAAATTTTTTATAATCTTATCCAGCTCAACTAGGTGGCTATGGTCATAGAAAAATAGTTCGTAGCCACACCTCAATGTTGCCAACATTTGCAACAATTATTTGATATTGATTTGTGTGAGTGATTTGCAAAACATGTTTTTCTACTCCTTAATCTAGAATACCCAAATATTCGCACATGAGACTTGAGAAAAGTGTCACTTTAAGACGTTATCACGTGAGTAAAATGGGGTTCATCAAACGTGTTGCGTAATATACTATTTTTTGTTTATAAACTGCGCTCACACACCAGCAAAATTTGCGTGTACTAAATTAAGAATTATAAACACAATTTTTACAACTCACGTGATGCAGTTTTACACTTTCAGAAGGTATTTACCAAACTGGAATATGGGTTTAAAATTTAGAACTAACTGCTTATTTTTAGAGGAGGATACAATTATTTAGTGCTGTGAAGAGCTTAGCTGGTTAGTTTTGGTAGTAATGGAGTAGAATGTTTTTTGGGGTTTTGAACTAATAGACAAAGAGGCTATTGTTCTTGTTGCTTTTCCTTTTTTTTTAATACTCTACTAGTGTTATTAGTTATTCGAAGAACACATTTTAGCCCATATAATTTGAGTCCCGTAGTTTCTCGCAATTTGTTTTGCATGTTGCATTTCATCTCAAGATCAGCTCTGCGAGTAATTTATATCACATGTAGAATTGTACCGGGTGTTTCAGAACGCTCTAATTTTCCTCAATTTTAAATATTTGAAACATTTCAAAATTCACGATAGCTTGAACTGTTTACAATTTGGAAGGCTCAATGTACTTCCAAGTTAAGTGCAAATGATAGCACGACCAATTTCTACTATTTGTAAGTATTTTATTTTTCATTTGCATTTTGGAAATATGTATTTATAGGGGTTATTCATCCAACGTCCTTTAAAATAATAGTTTTTTTAGGATATCCTAGTTTTTTTCCCTGCATTTAGAATCATTTAAAATTTATAGCCTAAAATTCAAACTACAAAATCATATATTAAACAGGTGTATTATCGAAAAAGTGTTATTTGGTCGGAGTCAACGTTATTTTGGTATTGTAGGGGAGAATTTTACCAAGAACGGCGATTATAAACATGTTTGGCTGTACAATAAATAAATAAATATATAAATAATAATAATACTGTATATTAAAAACAATTTTGCAGGGAGATCGTTTACAGCTTCGAATAAGATTTCGTTACAAATTAATGGGGTGTTGCGATAATCCCCTTAACGTTTCGAGGTTATTTGACTCTTGTGATTGACGAACGCATTTTTATGTCGCGTCTACAATCTAAAGGAGACTAGGATATGCGCCAGGACAACAGATTGCAAACCGTTATTTTCGAGTTAAATAATAAATAGTTAATCGATGCCAAAGGAAACATCGCTTTAATAAATAAAAAGAAAATAAATAGAAAAAATAAATAAAAGCTGTAGAGCACGGATTTGCGAATAGAAAATTTGCCGGTATTAGCGGCGGCGATCGGATCACACTCACAGAATCACGTTTCAATCCGCATTTTCTTTGGAACATCCAACTAACGACCGATATTAGTTCGCAACTTTCACGAATTCCGAATTGTCATACCTTCTAGCACCTACGAACGCGGTAGCGAGTCCTTTTCTATCTATAGCACGCACCCTGACAAATAGGAACGCGGCTACTAAACTAGCTACTATTAATACGAGCAATAGCATTACTAATCCAGCGACGAAACTCGGAACTGACATGCAGATTGTTTCGGAATCCGACGAAGTCGATTGAATGACCACAGTTTCGTTATTCTGGGCAGCGTTCAAAGCGAAATTAACATCACCGGGAGCTACCACTTGAATGGTTCGACTAGTATTGACGTCCGTCATCTCTTGAGCATCTCTTTTGTATACGTACGCCGCACGTTTTCGTCTCACCCCTTGCAGTTCCGCAGGGAGATTTTCCACTGACCTCGGTCTTCCTCCGAGCGTCGCTAAGTTCCCTTCGAACTCCTCGTTGACTCCGCTCTTTCTGTTAACGGTGTTGTACAAACCATGATGACCAGGTGGCGGTGGAGGAGGCAAGTGGATATCATTGCCGGTTTGAGCACTCGCTTGAGGCGCTGGAGACGATAGATTAGGTGGATTCGACGTCGACGACGTTTGAGTCTGAGGAGCCGGCACGATTTCGGCGTTTTGCTCGGAGTAAGCGCCAGTGGGACCCGAGGGATGTCTAGGATCTGGATAAGCTAGAGGAAGGCCGTAGTCGCCGCTAGGCGGCGGTCCGTATTCGGCGTTTAAATTTCCTCCGAAGTCTCCGTTGCCTAAAGCGTTACCACCTAGAGCTGGAGTACCATATTCGCTGGATATCCCAAGTCCGTGGCCGCCACACTTGGGCTCCGGGCAATTATACCTGCAGACTTGGATGACGCATTGGAAGTGCACGTTCATCGAGTCGGGGAATTTGAACGCTTGGAAATAAGCGAAGGAAACGACCGAAGCGGAAGGTCCGAAGTTTTTAATTTTCTGGAACTTACTCATTATTTTCGGGCGCACTACGCAACCGTATTGGTCGACCAATTGAATCGGAGCTCGTTTTCCATCGTGCGCGACGCAATTGCGCACCAACATGTCGAATTTATTTTCGTCGTCTTTAATCGCCAACACCATCGTCATGGTTTGTCCGATTTTCACAATGCCGGATACTTCCGAAGCCCAAGGTCCTTTGCCCACTTGGATTTGCATCCAGCATTGAAGGTTATCCCCGAGGAAGTTCGCGGTTACCGCGTGCAACATGTCAACTTGGAACGGCCTGAACGTCACGGCTTTCTCGTAGAAGTCGTACCAAGTGCACCTCAGCTTCCTTGCTTGATCCCATACTTCTTGGACGTAAGGGTCGTATTGAATAATAATGGTATTCTCCACGTAGCTACCGCTGGGCGTCGTTCCACCATAGCTAGCAGCGTTATGGTTAGCCGATGATGACATCCCGCAACTGTTCAGGAAAATTTCGAACGTGGCGCTCAAATGACCGGTGCCGGGTTTTAAATGGACGCAATGGGAATCGCTGTAGAATCCTTTGGAAAATATCATGCCGTAGAAAGGCCGATCGAACTCTATGTTAACTCGCATGTGGGTTTTTTCGCATTGCACCTGTAAGTGTTTGATTTGCGGCATGTCAGGAGTCGCCAAAGGCCAAGGATCTTCTCCTGATCCACCGAGGCCTTGTCCGTTATCCAAAGTCGCTAAAGATTGCGGTGCGTATCCGGGACCCGATAACGGAGGACCATACACTGCACGATGCTCTAGAGGAAGGGATGCTGAATCCAACAGAGGCACGTCGCAGTTAATTTGCTGAAAAAAAAAAGGTTATAGATTCTTACGCTTTACGAAAGTATTAGCAAAGAAAAATGGACTTAGCGTAGCTTTAGCTCATAAATGATGGTTTTCAACCCACCATTAATGACTTAAAATGTACATTCATTTTTGCAATTGCAGAGGAACAGAGTCTTCTCCGTGTGAATATATTTTTTTACTGCTACGGCATTTTCTTTCTAAACTTAAGTCGCTTTCCTAGAACATATTATCGAAATCTAGACATATTTTGCAAGAATACCAACGATCTGTCAGCGGCCATGTTGGTTGCGGAATGCCACAAGCTTATTGGTTAAAAACGATGGTTTAAATCTCATAGTTGCTTCATAAGTTCCTGTATATTTTTAGTATACGACATTTTCATCTTTGTGTTGTTGTTTATCAGTCTTTTTTTCAAGATAGGATTAATTTTAGAACTAAATGATTTAATTGAATTTTTACGCAGTTATATTGTATTGTTGTTTTTCAATTTTTTTAAGTTGCAATCAATTTTTATTTAGGACAATAATTTATGTTATGTTTTTTTTTAAATTTTAGTTCAGTCAAAATTATTTTTAAATAGCTAAATAATTTGAATACAAGTTTTGAATAATTCAAATAATTGCCAAATTTATGGTCCCTCCAATTATTCGACGAAGAAAATTGTAACAACGACATTTTTTTTATTCTTTATGTTCTTGTTTATCAATCTTTTCTCCAAACGTTCGCAACAACAAACAAGTTATAAGATTAATTTTAGAAACAAATTGTATTGTTGTTTTTAAAATTATTTAAGTTGCAATCAATAATTTATGTTGTTTTTTAAAAAATTGGTGATCTCAAAACTATTTCTAAATCGGTAAATAATTCGTATAGAAGTGTTGAAAAATTAAAATCAATTATCTGACGAGGACAACCGTATCAATATCAATTTGACGACATTTTTTTGTTCTTTGTGTTCTTGTTTATCGCCCTTTTTCACCGCACGTTCGTAACAACAAACAAGTTATTTAACGTTAATTTTAGAAAAAAATGAAAAACATTATGCGAAATTTGAAATCCAAAGAGGTCTGGGACCATAAAATTCAATACCAATTCTGGTGGCCTTTCACTGATACACTTTTAAAGTTTTCTATGTTCAAAAAACTCAAAACCTGGAAATGTCATTGTGGTATTGAATTTTATCCGTCCAGTTTTGGCAGTTTTGGAGATATTTAAGCGATCCGCTGAAAAAGTGGTAAATTTGACAACATTTGGAGATATTTAAGCTTTTCGTTACTTTTTACTAACCCTGTATATTTCCCGTATCGGATGTGAAATGAAAAAATTAACGTTTTGAGAAGATTGAAAAGAATTACATTAATATTAAACGGCTTTTTAAAACCTCCCGACCCATTTACGTGGTAAAACTTTCCAATACGTAATCTGCTACCAGCATTGTTTATCTACGTATAAACAAAGTTTAATTTTTACATAATTACAGTTGCATAAACGTGAACTTAAATTGAAACGGCAAACATCTAAATAACAAAGTTATTAACAAGTGTGGACTGGATGGACGCTAACGGTTAACTTTAATAATTGATTAGGAATAGGCAATTCTTACCCCAAAGAAGAACCCCGCTAAGATTCCAAAAACGTGCAGTGTCGGCGACCTTGACATGATGTTTGTTGGGCCAGCGCCAGTCTGTAACGGAAAGAATGAAAGCACCTTGACAGTGAATGGCCATGGTCGTTGTGTAGTAGAAGCAAGTCTTCTCACTTCCTTGCGTACGAACACTTTGGCCTACTAACACACTCTGTAAACACAGTTGACCGTTCGCATTGCAGCAAATATTGATTTTTTAGAGGGTATTCGTTTTCTTTTTGATTTTTTTTTATTAGCTCGCCGTTACCAAAGATGTAGTAACGCGTATTCGGTATAACGAGCCCTTTGAATTGAATATTTCCGCCGAAATTTATGTTTCCATGTCAATAATTGTTAATATATTCGGCATTAACGAATCCGTAGGAGCACAAATCTGTTCCGAAATATGAAAGTCAAGTCGGATATCATAAATATTCCGTTTCTTAAGCAGCTTTCTAATATGTAATTGTTTTGGACACTCTCGTAGAGAATATAAGTGTATCACGTGGAATACGTTTTTCCCGCTGTATAAAATTATGCAGTGAAATTAAATGGGATTAAATACCGTTGACGACGAACGATTTCTATTTGGGTACGTGTGCCGGCGATTTTCTTTTAATGGACAATTTAAACGAGCAATTTGCTTTGCAGATATTTATTTTTTTTCCCGCCTGGCCCCCATGCGGACCGAGCCGTTTAATATCGGCACGATTTCTTTTAATTGCGTGTCATCTGAACATTGTATTTTTCCTTTTAAATGAATTTGTTCCACCATAAAAGCAGTATCGATTGAATTTTTCTATAACATACATTTTTTAGTAAGTGCCTTGAGTCGCGTGAGACAAAACTAATAGATAAAGTAGTATTTTAGTATTTAAAGGTACATCTTAATAAGATGTGAAAAATGGATTAAATATTACCGGAGAGCGAAGATACAGGTGTTTAGTTTATCCAGTGTTTTTAACATGTTCAGATACCAGTGCATTTTTTGAAAATTTTCGTAAATTTCTGGGAGCTTTTATTTTTCCTTACGGAGTTTATGAAATTAAAAATGTGGAATATTTGATACATAGCAACGTATAGAATTGTAATTGGGGTAAAGAAAAGAAAAAGTACAGAATTATACAAAACAAATTTATACAAAAACAGCTACGGATATACACCGTGTGAATTTTAGGCAGTTTCTTTACAATATTAGTTTTTTTTATTTCAATGGAATTTCAAAATAAGAAAAGTCTAAAAAGATGCGAAAAAAGGAACAAATATGAACATAGAGTGAGGATACAGTGCTTTTAATATTTTCAAATACCGGTGCACTTTTTGTTTTTTTTTTAATTCATGGAGCTTTTTTTGTATTGCAGCTTTTTCTCGTAAACTGGGCGAAATACTAAAAGAAGTTGAATTGAAAAGGGGAATAATGAAATTCATACCAACGTGTAGAATTGTACAGGGTTAAAAAAAAAGATATTAAAAATATTTAAAAATAAAAAAAGGTGTTCGATATACACTGTGTGGAGTTTTTCAGGTATTTTCACTATTCATAATGCGTTTCTTACGATATTAGCTTCTTTTTTTATTTCATAGGAATTTCAGTGGATTTTTTGAAAATTCTTTTAAATTTTTTGGAGCTTTTGTTTTTCCATATGGAGTTTAGAGACGTGTGACTTTTTCTCGTAAACGAACCAAGAAAAAGTTCAATGAAAAAGTGGGAAAGCCTTTTTAGGCAATTAATATTTTTCTAAAATTAATTGCATTTCAGAAATTAAGATTTTTCTGACGATAAGCCGCTACCAATGTATAGAATGTACTGCATGACTTTCATTGTAACTTTTCTGGGCTTTTTTAGTGAGTGTGATTGTCAATATTACCGACGAAATAGACAAGCTGCTATATAGGTGAACCTAAGTAAGTAGAAATAAAATAAAAGGAGAAATGCACAAATACGGTAGTTGATCAAAACGTTTTTTTTATCTATTTTTCATGAGCGACCGAGATTCTCATGTTTTAGAAAGTGGAACAAGTTCCATGTGATCTAACACTGTTACTGTCTGCATTAATAAAACTCGTTCCTGTAAAATATTTATGCACGGTCGATGTCTTATGCGAGTCGTTAAAACAGAAGCGATATTAAGATGAATTAGAACTCGATAGTCGTTGATAGAATTAATCACTGCAACTTTTTCTTTTTAGTCACATCTGCCGTACGGCAATACCAATGTTACCCATTTTCTCTTAGCGGAATTAATTTTTCGGAGTTTCTCTTTTCATTGTCTGTCGTCACTAGGTAGAACGCAGTGTTACTTCGTATAATTCGTTAATAACTCATATATGCGTAATAAAATCATTGCATAAATTGCCAATCGGTAGATTTTTCTCGTTTACAATTTGGATGAGATAGATGGGTAACCCAATTTCGGTTGCACATACACATTTAAGGTTTCTTAAAGAAATTGCCACTGTTTTTCAATCCTTTTATGGTATCAGCATGACGGCTGGTTCCGCTCGCTGGCTTCAAATTATTTCAGAACGGATTAATCAAACTTTCTCCGACACAACAAAAGGAAAGAACCTGTTTCAAAGTCGGATCGACTTAGAGGCAATGCATCTACATACGAGCCGTATGATGGCTTTTGCGCGGAATATATATGGTGACGATCTTTATCGATTAGCAGTGTTTACTTGGTAATCTAGCATTATTACATTCTAGAAGTTTTGAGGATATAATTTCGTCGATTTTGAATGAAACGGGCTTTCATTTAAATAAAAATAATAATATTAAACTTGGCGAAAACTTTACCGAAATTGCATTTATCTGTTGGACAAAAAAATTACTTTTATACTGCTCAAAAAATTTATAACACACTACCTCTGGAACTGAAAAATAAAATTAAATTAAAAAGTTTCTTTTTTTTCTTTTTTTTTTCATATTATATAATAGATGGAAAACATAGTTAAATTAACCTGCGTAATGTTCAAGGATGGCTGTCAAGTTTTTTACTTGAATATAAGTGTTTTTTGTGATAATATTTATTTAACGTTTATATTACAATAAGTTGTTAAATTGGATATTTGTATTGATTTAAATAAATGCTATTATTATTATTGTTATTGTAAAGGGTTGGGGAAAGGTGGTTGTAAATCACCCTCAAAATTTAAACGAGAAAGAGCGGCAAGAAAACGGTAGGACATACAACACCCGAAACGGTTAATCACCCACCTTGATGGTTTATTATTATTATTATTATTATTATTATTATCCTTATTATTATCTCATGCCTTTCCTTAAACAAATAAAAATTGATAATTCTTGTATCGTAAAAACTAAGCATTTGTTGCTGTATGTTTATATGATCTTTTTTTGATGGTAAGTCCTGCTGCCTCAAAAAAATTTAATAATTTTGATATCGAGCGGCATCAAATTTTGGAAAAAGCAATTGCATTTTACTCCAAAATTATGCATTTTTTGTGTATGTTTATAGGAACTTTTTTGTTGATTTTATTAAGATATTCCTTTTATATTAAACAGTATCAAATTTTGTTCTCTAAGAAAATTAACGTGATTTTAATGCCCTAAGATCATAATTAGTATTGCAAATACTATCTTAAACATAAATATGAGTTGATATTATTTTGAAAAATCTAACATGATTATCTTCTCTGTGAAGTTCCGAGGATATAATTTCGTGGATTTTGGATGAAACGGTTATTAATTAATCATTAAAATTAGTTAATTCTTTAACTAATTTATCTGGTATTTTTCGAATGTCGTTTAAACAAAAATGTGTGGTTTTTTGTTGACATATTTTTTAAAGATTATAATTATTCTTGTTTAGTTGAATTTGATATCTTATTTCTTTCTTTAAACAAATAAAAATTGATAATTCTCGTAGAAGTATTCTAATCACTTGCTGCTGTATGTTTATATAAACTTTTTTTATTTATCAATCCTGCGGCCGTATAAAAAATAATGATTTAATAATTTTGATATTTAGGGCCATTAAATTTTGGAAAAAGCAATAGCACATTACTCGCAAATTATGCATTTTTTGTGTATGTTTAGAGGAACTTTTTTCTTGATTTTACGAAGATCCTACTGTCCCGTAAAAAATTGACTAAAGAAGTTTTTCTTTTATATTAAACATTATCAAATTTACGTTCGTTATTTTAATGCCCTAAGTTTAGTTTTGCAAATGATATCTTAGGACTCTCCTTAAACATAAATAAGAGTTTATTATTTAAAAAGTATTTCAAAGGTTAAGCATACTAATTACCAAAAATATAGCATGATTACGTTGTCTGGGGAAATAATTTAGGATTTTGGATAAAACCGTCAGTAACTGTATTAATGTCCATCCATTGTTTCTTAAAATTAGCTAATTCTTTAACAATAGTTGTTTCTCTGTGTAAATGTCTATTTCGAATTTGAAGAGCCAGTTAAAAAATGAAATTTTGCAATTTTTAAAAATGTTTAAGAAATACTTAAATTCAAAGTATTTTAGTTAATTTCACCACATTCGTTACGGTGTGTACGATAGAAAGCTAAAATTCGTTTGCATTGTTCTAACGTTTCTTCATTCAAATAAAAAAATGACTGGATCGTTACGGAGCAATTCCATTGTTGGCACAACTTTCAATAATCGTTTGTCACAAGCGGGATCATAAAATCGCAAACGAGGGATTTTCGTTTGTTAGTTACGCCTGTACGGTTTAAAAAACCTCTTATTAAAATCGTCATTCGATTGCTATGGATACGGAAAAGAATTTGGACAGATCGCAAATATGTATGCCACAGACATACTTTTGAGAACGTTAATTATGAAAACATATGATTTTGCCTCCGTGTATCTTACAAATAATTTTTAATAATTCGTTATCTGTTAGTTAATTAATGCTTTCGTTTCATGTTCTATTAAGTGGGATCTGCTGAGCGTTACGAATATATTTTTTATATTTATTCTTCGAACATTGGTATTACAGTTGGTGCAGTCGGATATATAATTTGTTTAACCCGTAACCACCGATGGGGGAAATATGTTTAAGCATTTTCACCTCAAGTGGTGACTAAAATAAACGAAATCAAGGTCAGGTTGTGTTAGATTTCCCCCAATTAAATTAAATACAAAGAGACGCGTTTGTTCAAAAAGTAACTGAATAGCAATCTGGCATCCATTGTGGTTAAAGTTTGATTGAAACAGCGAAGACCTACATACATTCGAAATAGCCATGCATTTACCTGATGTTATTGAGCATTACCTAGATTCAAAATTGTGTTTAAATATTATAAGTAGTTAGACTAGAATTTTCAAGCACCTGCTTGTCTGTTTAGCGTTTTGCATACTTTTTTATGCGAAATGAGGCGGCCGCAAAATTATGTGCTCGTTGGATAACGATATTCAAAAATATATGTCTAGCAAAGAGCAGGAACCGATTTTTTAATAATTGATTAGTTCTATGGAAACACTTGGAAAACCAAATAATGTCTTCCATAATTTATAATTTGTTCTTTTTTTGAAAAAGAATTCCACATTATAGCTAATTATCTGCGAAAATGTTGGTAAAACTTGCCAAAGTCACATCTTTTGTTTATATCGATCAGAATAATTTTTTTTTAAAAGCAATTTAAGTTGTTTACCCTAATGACACTTGTAATAGCCCTTATATAATTACGGCTTTCTTTAAATAAATAAAAATTCCTAACTGTTTTAGAAGTATTTTGAAAACTTAGCGTTTGTTACTGTATGTTTATATGAACTTTTTTTTGTTGATAAGTCCTTCTGGCACATAAAAAAATACGATTTAATAATTCTGAAACAAGCAATGGCATATCACATTTGCTGGTTTTTTGGTTAGTTAATTAATTAATTTCATTAAGGTTTTACTGGCCTATCATAAATTCCTTTTATATTTCATTAGTTTTGCTCATGTCTCATGTCTTACGATTCTCCTTAAACATTGATTTTAATTTAAAAGTATCTCGAAAGTTAAGCATTGAAATTGCTATAAATCTAGCATGACCACGTTGTCTATGAAGTTTTGAGGTGGATTTTCGGTGTTTAATTTTTTCAACTAATTTATCTGACAGTTTGCGAATGTCGTTCAAATCAAAATAAGTGCGGTTTTTTGTTGAAATTTCTTTTGAAGATTATAAGTATTTTTGCTTAGTTGAATTTGATATCTTATGGCTTTCCTTAAACAAATAAAAATTGAATTGAGAATTGTTGTAGAAGTATCTTGTCGCTGTACGTTAATAAGAACTTTTTTTTATTTATTGTTGTTTTGTTAATATTCAGCAGTATCGAATTTTGAAAAAACGTGGTGGCATACTATTTTTTTGGCATACAATTTTTAAAAAAAATAACAATTGATACTTTTAAAGTGAACATGACAAAACGAAATGAGGACGTTGAATTTTTTTCAAGAAAAAAAAAAGCGTCAGCGATAAATGTTTGTTAACCGCGTATCTTCGCATCGGGCCACGGCAATTAAAAAGTTAATAACATTCGCGTAGATGATAAATAACGCTACGATGTAAAGCGCTTTTAGTTAACGAGTGATTATAAACAACCGGAATAAGAACCTGTGCGCACGCACGCTAGGAAGTCAATTGACACACTGCCTTGTTTTCAATCTACTGTGTGCCCAATATAACAACTTATACACAGCGAGATAGATTCATCTTCCATCGGAACTTTCACCGATTTTATTTACGTTCTTGGACGGGCCCATGTTAATCTAGCAAATAAGTCGTTTAAATAAGATCGCCGATTACGAAAAATCCAGTTTTATTTTTAAAATTTTTCAAACCCCAATTTCTTGTTTTTCTCGCAACTAGGTCAATGGCGTGCGTGCGTGATTTTGTTTTTTTTTTGGAATTTTCCTTCGGTTGGGCGTTTTTTTTTATTAATTCTTTTTCCTCGGACAACTGTGCTTACTATTACGCGAATTCCTATCCGGTTTGCTTACTTAATAATAATCCGATAAATGGAAGTCCCGTCCACCGTAGAACTACGCACTGATTATAATTAGCAATCCTCTTTAGCACTCCACAATGCACCCCATAAAATTTTACATGCCAAACGACGCGTGTTTTTTTTTTTGTTTTTTTGAAACGCACCGACTTTAGCAGGCTATAGACTAAAATAATACGCTTAAAGTTATTCCGTTGGTTTTATATTGACGTGAAAGTTTGCCCCACTCGGCGGTTGGTGAGCCATTAGCAGCGCTTTTACGATGAGCTTATAGTGGCCGGATCCAAAATCGTTCGAGCCGCGTTGAAGAATTTTTTGACTCATTGGAGTCACTTTCTTTTGCGTGGTACGCTTTGTTGCACAATTTATTCGACATCCGACTTGTCAACCCAATTTAAACTTTCGATTTATTATGTCACAACATATTTTGGGAAACTGTTAAGAAACTGTTTTCGGATTTCCCGGTTATTCATAGGGTTCGGTGATTTTTTACCATTAATTATTGTTTATCAATCAAACGTTTGTTTGCGAGAGTTTCTCGGATATTTTTGCACTTCGTGAAAGCAAAGAACGAAGAAAGGACTTTGCGATAGACCTCTTCGATAAATATTTTAATTTTCTTAGAGCAACGTTGGTTTTAAAAACTATAAAAACCTAAATTAAAACCCAAAATTAAATTAGAGGTATAAAATAAAAATTAAGTGAAGGTCAACGGAGGTGAGTGTATGGAGCTTAAAAGCTTATAAGTTAAAATTGTTGCTGCAATTTAAATAAATTATAACAAAGATATTGCTTTTACAGTGTACTACGCACCGAACTCGATATAAATTACGAGGCAAGTTTTATTTAGAGGGGACGGTATTCTTTTCTTTGTTATGCATGCATCTTATTTCTCAAGTTTTTACCTGATTGCGCTTTTTAAGGTTAAACTTTTACTAATACTAATAATTGTATATAATTATGTATATATAATAATAAAAATAATAATAATGTATATATAAGTGTTTATTAATAAACATTTTTTTAATTGGTAAATTGTTTTAAACGGCTGAACTGAAATGGATGATCATGTACTTACAAAATTCTCATATTATCACGTATTTATCCAACAATATAATTAGGACTTACAGTGTCCACGATTGTACTACTATGTTGCTGTGCTGGTGAAAAATACAATTTACTCAACAACGTTTCTATACATATTTTCCCCTTTTTATGATTTCCCCCATTAAATTATCAAGAATTGTTGTTTTCATTATAGTGTGTAATATGTATTTATTGATAAATTTTTCCTTTGTGTGCGTTATTTTTCTTCTATTATTATTTTTTTCTTTCTAATCCTATTTCATTTTGACTTTATTGTTTTTACCAATAAAGACCGGCAAAACCGGCAAAAGAAAATTTATTTTTTTAAATACCTACCAAAATATAACATGATTTTGTTTCATAAATAATTATAAAATAAAATATATAAATACGATTTCATTTTTTATGTTATAGTATAAAATGTGGTATAAAAAATTCCATGGAATAAAAAAAATTTCTAATAAAAAAATGAATATGGCCTTATTGCATTCTTTATAGTTTTATAGTTTTACTTGTCACTAAAATTTTAAAAAAATTATTTTTTTAAGAAATAAACAAAGAAATGTGCCTATTTAGGTAAGTAGCTAATACCTAATAAACGTTTTTAAAACTTAAGAATATTTTTTGAATATTTCAATTTGTATATACTTTTTTGGAATTTTTTTAATGAGTTTGATTGTTATAAATTTTGATTTTAACAAATATTTAAAGAAAATATTGTTTAAAAATACAATATTCATATGTAAATGATTTCAGTGAGAATTACATTAAAAATAAATAAAAACAAAGTCAATTTGAAAACAATTTCATTTCGCAATTTCCAAAATTCTGTTATTTTCGGCCGAACAGATTTATGAATGAAAGTTATATTGTTTTTTACGCTTTGCAACCATGATCAATTTTTATATTTTTAAGTACGGACTGCATTTTTTTTTCAGTTTTGGTTTCGTTAAAATTTTTGTAAATAATGACATAAAATACTTACAAACAGAATGTTAAAATTTGACATTTACTAACAATATTTCGTATTTTTGCCTAAACATGTACAAATTTTTCATGTCCTTGGAAAATATGAAACCTCTGCATTCAAATTTTTGATATATGTATATTCTATTTATAATTGTCATGACATAGGTTAATTGCCAATTACATTTTTGATATTGATTTTCTTTATTCAAGGTTTATTTTATCCTCTCTTACCTGCTTTCTCTCACTCTATTTTTTAAATTTCTCATCCAAATTATATATATTTTTTTGCCATTTACGTACAAATGAAAAAGTCCAATCAATATTTGTAGAGTTATTAGTACTTATTTTTATAAATGTGTGGGTTTTCCAACTTGGGTGTGAAAAACTAAATAATTAGTAGTCTTTTGCTCGAAAAGATTTGGATTTGGTCAAACTATATGCAAAGATTTTTTAATTTTTTAAATGAAACTCATTTTGACACATATCAAGCCTTATATTAAGAAATGGTAGATAAAAAGTTATAGGGTTTATTCCCAATCTCCAGGATCTCCTGTTGAATTAACTAAATAGATAATAATAAATTTTATATAATTTATTACAAATCAATACAGGTGATATTATAAGTTATTTCTTAAGTAGACCACTTTCATCCCATCTTTATATAATTATAAAAGGGTCTACCATTCGATCAACTGCATGATTTCTAGGACATTTATTACCTATTGTCCAATTAATATTATTTCATAGTTTAAACCCTGAACAGAACCGCTACTTTTATTGCTCCGCATCAATTGAAAACAGACTTTAAAGTTTCTCATTTCTCTTACGTGAAATTTTATATTAAATTCACTTCATATACGTCTGAAATAAATTCTTAAAGCAAACGACAACCAATATTAACCGGATACAATGTTTTAAAACGTGAAATATATATCAACCAATGGTTTAACTCATTGTTATTGGCAGTAAAACAACCATTGTCTAACATATTAAGCTATAAAATGGTTCATAATTGGATGCGCATTCACCAATGGGTCAAAAACGACCTAGATTGGAAACTAAAGCGGTAATAATGGCGCTTTTAACAACTATACGCGTTGAATTAATCTTCATTTTTGGTTTGATGTATGCATGTGGATGTGATAGTTTTGAAGGAAATGTATTATGTGTTTAAACGTAGAAATATCGTGTCTTTATATCGAAAAACTTGTTCAACGTGAGCCACGTATCGGATTATTTTTTAATTTTAAATGAATGGAAAATTTATTATATTTGTGGTTTTATTGTTTTGGCGGAATATTTAAAAACCCAAAAAAAAATGAACATTTACATTCTCATGGAAACTTTTTGAGTTTCCTCGTGAGTAAAACTCCAAATCCGATGTAGTGCTCAAATCACAGCCTTTTGTGGTTTAAATGGTAATGAAATGAGTGCAGCAAATTGCGTCCATAACAAAATTTAGATTTGACGATGGTTTAAGGCAAACCAAAATCAATTTAACTAACTCAAAAATTTCCAATTAGAATGTTTGGAATGTAGAATTTTGTTAATTTTTAAAATATGCTGATTGATATGTGAGTGCTTATTGTTTTTGTTCAAGAGCAGAGAAAGGTTTGCACCAGTCGCAACAAAACATGAACACATCTTAATGTATTCACTTATTCGTGCTAAATTTTTTTGAGCAATAGAAATAAAGATAGAAAAAAGCTTTAATACTTACCAAAACAAAATAAAATCAATTTTAATAGAACCTTATTCTATTGTAGAGTTCTTAAATTACAGATTTTAAATTAATGTGGTTTTTGTAAACCATCCTTTGACTGTGCATCTTCTTCTTTAAGTAGGTAACTAATAATAAGTAGATTTACAAAGAGCAATTAACTTTGACTTAATCTGAGCTACCATATACTTTTTATTCTTAGTTTTACTGAGAATCTAAAACACTCAGAATTTTAGTTACAGCATCAACATGTTCTGCCATAATAATGGCTGCTATCGCTCCTAAAGCCGTGAGTAAATCGAACAAGCCTAAAAAAAAAAATCTATTCAATGTTAATGCTACAGTAATAATCTACCTCCAAACCAGTAAAGTTAATTAAATGAATTTATTTAAATCTCATAAACTGTAGGCCAACTTTCTTTTAACGGAAATAGGCCAAAAAAAAATCTTGTTGTGGTTCTTTTAGTACAAAATCCACAATAATTTTAAGAGTGATAGAAATTTGCATAACAGCCAATTTTTCGCCCTCATGTGGTGTGATTTGACTGGAAATAATAATAATAATTTTGGAACTTAAATCGCACATTTTACTTTTTATTATTTTTTATTTGATTTTGTATTGTATCTTCGATTGGATAAACTGAAACGGACTGCGACCTAAAGGTTGTACTATTTTCCGAAAAAAAATGCATTATATGCAAATGAAATTTATGGTTATTTACGTTATTAAAACCTTTCAGAAAAAATAATATTTAGAACAGACGTGAAAAACTAAAATCTCAGACTTAAAGGAGTCATTATTCCTCGTCACCGTTCTGGTATATTTGTTACGATTTGTATAAAATATATAGTGACTTGCCCTTTTCTATAAACTAAAAACCTGGTTTCTTACAAAAATGTACTGGCATTTTCAGCTGTTAGTTTTGTTGGAGAGGTAGATTTAGGTCTTTTTTTCTTTGTAAATATATATGGGTACTTAACCATAAAACCAGCGAGTATGTAACTCTAGATGCAGCTCCTTTACCTTTTCTTGTATATTACAATATATATTATAAGCATATTATTATTATTTATTAATAAAAAAATGATTTTTCAGTTGATAGCTGATAAAATGTTAGTATTAGGGTTAAGTCATTAAATTATCTGTAAATGTGTTCATAGAAATACAAAACTTTCCATAATTAAAATGTTACAAAAATGCAAATTTTCAAAACGGAAATAATATATCCTTGTGCAAGTATCCACTAAGAAATATTTCACGTTCAGTTGTGGTTGTAAAAGTATTCTACCGATCTCCTAGTTTTAGTATATAAAGTAATAAATACTTCACCCCGCAGGGGGTAACAACGGCAACGTTGTTGCTTGGGGAGTAACGCCCCCACGGGTCCTAGTTACCAGAGCTACCTGTGCAAGTGGTAGCAAAAGAAGCAATATGACCATGAACGAAACAATGCATGTGGGTAAAAGCAGAGTTCTGCAAAGTTCTTCGGAGTCCAGCAAAGACTGCCTCTGAATTACCAACATGTCCAGCATATTCTACAAATTTTGTTTTAAGAATCAATGTTTTCATTTGTTTTTATTGTAAACCTTTTTTTATATTTTTTCATCAAATTTTGCATACAAAATACTCCTTCAGAGATTGCTATTCAATATTTTTGATACACTGGTAAAGTCCATTTTTAACACCATGTCAAATCACAAGCTCAAATATACTAGTTTATAGAGTGCTCAATAATTTAGTTTTTTTTAGCTCCCAAGGGACCATGGTTTGAGAAACACCACCCTTTGGGAGTGGTTTCTCAAAGGATTGAATTTTGAAGGCCATGTTTCATCAAAGTACATTATCTTAGCTATAATTTTAAGCTTTAGTTGCCTTTTGAATCGTTATCAATAAATATTAAATTGATATTGACTAAAAGCAAGTTTCGTATATATATAAAATATCAAAATATTTGGTTTGGGCCAAAATGTTTTAAATTGGTTTTGTAGTTTATAATTTATTTTTCGCTAGTTGTAATAAAAATTATGAATAAAATAAAAGTGCTTTCTTTAATTTCTCAGTTTTCCTGTTAAGCCTATCGATTCAAGATTCCCCAAGTTACTTGGCGTATGTTCGATATATTTATCAAATATCATTATTTCTAACTGTCACGGGCGAATGTGTATATTCAAAAGAATTTTTTATAAAAAGAAAATAAAATAAAACTCTATACGTTGTTATATATTATATTATAACTCAAAGAAATTGTTGAATTTAAAACAAACAAATAAACACATCTAAAATTAATATAACGTAAAAATGCATTTTATTATTTTAAACTAAAATAAAAAAACAAAGTAAATGTATGGTAACCTGATGTATTGTAACAACTTAAGCTACCATGACACTTTGAATCACACAAAGGCCTCTTATTTTTACAGCTACGTATAGACGTGCAACATTTCTTTTCGCTTCTTTTGCTGCTTCAGGTCAAATCCCATCCATGGAAATTTTCTTTGCAAATCGCAAATTGATTACGGGTAAAAAATCTATTTCAATGTGTCATTTTTGTTTGTTAATTAATAAAAATTCGAATCCTCTATTCCTATGACAACAGCCAATACATTTCGAGGATATATACGATCACCAATTTGGGCAGCAGAATTTTTTATTTTTAAGTGCAAAATATTTTATGGAAAAAATTACGATCCGGAGTACTGTTCATAAACGTTTTAACAATCTTTATGAGATACCAAAAATGCACAATGCTATGTCTCAGAATTAATTTTCTTATGTGTCTTTTAACCCATATTATCCCAAGCATAAAAAAAAATTGTTGCACTTAATTAAATAATATTTTGGGGCACATAAGATGTAACATATAATTTATACATAAATATACAAAAGAAAGTTCAAATTCGACAGAAAACAACTAAAAGTAGATTGTTTTCCAAATAGAACCTGATTTGATACAAAAAAAACGCATAATATTTTAATTTTTTGTGATATTTTACAAAGCATGAAATATGAAAATGCACATTACACTTATTACAAACGTAAATTGTGTTTCAGTGGCAGTTTCTACATCTCCTCCGTGCTTTATTAGCACGAACAATCATGAGGTGACCTTGATTATCATAATGTACTTCATCCATGGCAGGTGCAAGATTTCTTTGAGTAATTGTTTTATCAGTTTTTAAAAGTTGCAAAGCAATGTAAGATTTAAGATCAAATCAATCACTTCGTCATCAAAAAACAAAAAATATTTCAAGCGGAGTTTTTCCAGAAAGCCTATTTTTTAGTTCCTCACATGATCTAAATTCATTGGATATAGGTGTGTGAGTGTACTCAATCTGACCTTTCTTCCATTTGACAGTGGAAGCAAGCCTGTCGTTTGCAGAAAGCATACAGCTGTATCATTCGGTGTATGTAACTGGAAAATTCCAACTATATCAGTTGGATCCCCAAACTCTTGTAGAATTATGTTATCGTTCATATATTCTTCGTCAGTCAAGGTATCCACGTCGGGTGGAATATAGACCGCGTCAATATGTCATGTAAATATTTTTTCACGTTATTTTTAGCATAAATTTACAAGGAATGGTATGCTACAATACATAAGAATACGTAAATCCAAATAATACTTACGACTTTCATTGTTATTGTCCTCATCCATCACGATTAGTAATTCCTTTTGAGTCAAATACCTCGGAAATTCCATATTTTACGAACTGTAACGTTCACTGCCCAAGACACAAACTAATACTAAAGAACACGCTAATTGTTGGATGTTTATTCTACATGCGTTGACTTGTCTAAACTTGAAATAACAAAGTTTTGTTTCACAGATAAAACCAGTGGTGCATTCACGCACCAGTAAATATTTTCAAAAAATAAAGCATAATCAATATAGTATTTCCAAGGTATGTCTTCTGCGATGTAATATACACGCTATAGGCAATATAAATCCAAAATATTTTTTTTTTACTATTTTGGATTTACTTAAAAATGTGATACAAATTGATGTATCGCTTTTGTTAACTTTTCATGTCATATACAAGATCTTTCCTTTATACATAAATTAGCGATTTCGGTTTTATGCCCTTTAGTAGTGATAACAATAAAATTTCTAAATGGATCTGCAAAAATATTTTCTGGATGTGATAAAAAAATCATAGAATTGGTGGTGCATTGACGCACCACTGGGACAAAACGGGTTAAGTTGCTAAAGCGATACCCGAAGATAAACCTGCTCGCAAACTCATCCAGACCAATTTTAAAAATAGAAATTATATAAGTTATATTTTTGTAGTTTTGTTAAATGTCGATTAGCTAATTTTATTGCTTTAATTATTGTTCTATTATTTTATTTTTTGTTTTTGCCTATTCCCACGTTTATTGTTATTGTTAATCTACTGTGATTTTGCCTTATTTTAAATTGATTTATGGATTTTCGTTTACATGCTCTGTTGACTGCCCCCGAGTGAAAAATAAAGACGTTTTTATTTATTTATTTATTATTAACGATCTATTATGTAACGTAGTAGGAACAAAATCGAGCAACGCAATGCGACAGTTAAAATGAAAAATGAAAAATTTACAAACTGGTTGTAAAAATCGGTTAAATAAATCTCCGAGGGTCGCTGAATAGGAATATCACTAGGTTTTTTTCGCAAACGAAGACAAAAAAAATACTGCGATAACATACTTTAAGGATAACGTCCGATAGGTCCTGGTATATGTGCACACAACCCTTTAGACGAAAAGCGTTTCAGTCGCTGTGTGGTGGGGGATCTAAAGCGCGAGCTTACGGCGCACAACGTAAGCAAAACAAAACACAATCGTTCGCAGTTGAAACCACGAAGTTCGGTGACGAGCGAGTTGCATAAATTGCAACTGAAATTTTTGTATTTATGTTCGATATTTCTGATAATGGATGACGGGCAAAATTTAAGTCACTTGTCAAACAGTTCGATCGAAGATGGTAGAATATCGAACGCAAGTGCGGAAAATTCAAACCCGCCGGTTCCCGCAATAAGTTCCACTGATGTTATGGAAAATTGTGGTAGTACCAGTGCTAGTTCCAGTGCCCGACAATCTCCAAAAGTGATACCCTCTACGTCGTCTGCGCAGATTTTTCTTCATCCCCATCAAAGAAACTCCATTTCACCATCTACACCCAAAAAAATCATCAGCAAGAATTACAACAACACACGTGAGTTTGTTATTCTAGCGTCTTTTGATTTTTCGTTTAACTCGTTACCGGTTTTTTTCAATTTTAATTGAGGCGCTTTAATTAAACATTGTTTTTTTCGGTCTCGAGAAGTTACCGAGTTTACTCGTGTCTGTGCTTTTTATTTGATTTTAATTTCAAGTTTTACCGAAGCTTTAAAGGCGTTTTAACGTTAGATGTATCCCTGTTTTCATCTTTGACACTTATGTTAGACTTTTTAGCTGAGCGCATATATAAAAAAACGAATTATAATCGAATTTTTACTTCAGTAAACCATCGAACGCTAGCAACTTCTTACTCAAAATCTTTGAAAGATTTAGTTTTATTTTAACAATAAACAAAAATGTTTTACGCGCAACCAGAAGTGCTGCAAGTGTCGTGAAGCCCATAAAAAACTAATTTTTGAACTAAGGCACATTCATTTAATTAAATAATCCATCCATCACTTGTTGGTTGTAATTAAATCGTTATTTCCAATAATTATTATTTACTATCCCCAGGAGATACACTAGTTACGCTTTACTTTACTTTCATGGAAAAAGTAAGTTTTTCTGATTCCGTAATATAAAAGAATCCGGGTACCGGGAATTTCATTACAAAATATACCTGGAAATACATGCACATGAAATTATTATTTTATTTGATAAATTATTACTTAAAGTCAAGTAAAGACCATATAATAAATTTTATATATACATTTGAAAAACTGCACTCTGGTTAGTTTTGTTATTTTGCTCCTAAGTGTTTAATAAAATGACATTATTTATTATAACAAAAACGTTAGTACTATTTAACCGAAGAATCAAAAGCTTAGTATTTTTTGTTATTCATTTGGCTAACAACATTAAATAATTTATATAATATATTAATAATAATTAAATAATCTCTAATAAAAATTAAAAAGAATTTTTCAATGTTTTCGACTTTTTTTGAAGCGTGCTATATTCTAAATTAAATACGAAACCCTATAGCCTCTAGACAGATTTTAAAGTTTGCGAAAAAAATCTTTCAAATATGGATAGTGCAACTTTTAACTCTTCATAATGTTTCGCTTTAATACTTTCATGGAAAAAATATCATTAATTTTTTCTGATTCCGTAATATAAAAGAATCCACGAAAAATTTCAATACAGAATGTACCTGGAAATAAATGCGCTAAAAATTTAATAAAAAAAAACTTGTCAGTGGTGTAATAACTATTATTTTAATTTTAATAAATTTCATATATTGCCAACGATATAGATTTGAAAAACTACGCTCCAGTCGGATAAAGTATAATAAATAATATAATTTGTTATAAGAAAAATGTTTAGCACTATTAAATCGAACAATCAAAAGCTCAGTATTTTTTGTTATTCGTCTGGTTAACAAGATTGTATGGTTTGGAATGATGCAGAAATGGAAGGAGAGTATAAAAAATCTCTAATAAAAAATTAAAAAGAATGTTTGTATGTTTTTGAAGCGTGTTATATTCTAAATTAAATATGAAACACAATAGCCTCCAAATAGATTTTAAGGATTGCGAAAGAATCCAGAAAATTGGCACAAGGAATACGAAAGAATGAACTGTACAGAAAAATCACCTCTTTTAATATTGATTTAATTCTGAGAAATCGACATTTGCAATGAAATTATTGAAATTATCTGTTTTTTCAATTTTTAAAAAATTTATTATTAGTTGAACTGAGGTGGCTTTTACTTGATGAAAATCCATTTATCAAAATAAATAAGAACTAAAAGTTCAGATTTTCACGAAATTATATATTATGACATGACAATTGTTTCGACAACACCGTGTCTTTATCAAATGTCAACATTTGATAATATAATAAATAATAAAATAATAATATATAATATATAATAATAATAAAATATAATAAAATAACTTATAGTTCTTATTTGTGTTGATAAATGGATTTTCATGAAGTAAAAGCCACCTCAGTTCAATACTATAAAGGATATCTTCAGAACTATACAAAAAAATAATGGTTTGTTTCATTTCCTTAATTATGCTGAAAAGAATAAGAAATCTTTTAAAAAATTATTGTTATTATTATATATTTATAGATTTAATATTATTCGAAGCTTTTTGTATTCCATTAGCATTAAATAATCCCGAGATTAGTACTATATTTTCTAATTCTAGATAATTTTTCTAAGTGCTAAGTTAAAACATCCGAATTATTGTTATTGTTTATTAGTGTTTATATATGAATTATTATTGTTTATATATTAATATTATTATATTTTAAAATAATTATTATTCAAAAATTTTTGTGTTCGATTAGTATTAAATAGGCCCGAGATTAGTACTGTAGAGTCTCTGAAGTAATACAATTTTTATTGTGCTAATTTAAATCACCCGAAAAAAGTTTAGTTCAGTTTTTTTAATTATAAATCATATAAATCTTAAAAAAAAAGTCATTATTAGATTTTTAATATAATAATATTATTAAAAAAAAATTGTATTCGATTAGCATTAAATAGGCCCGAGATTAGTACTGTACAGTTTCTGGTGCTATATATATATATATATATATATATATATATATATATATATATATATATATATATATATATATATATATATATATATATATATATATATATATATATATATATATATATATATATATATATATATATATATATATATATATATATATATATATATATATATATATATATATATTGGTTTGTTTAATTATAGATCGGAGAATTATTAGATTATTAGATAATTGACAGTTTCAAAGTTTTTTGAGTTCTATTAGCATGAAATAGGCCCAATATTAGTACTGTAGAGTATCTGAGGCCTTACATTTTTTTTGTGCTTATTTAAAACACCTGAAATAAATAAGTTTAGTTTTGGTTGGTCTAATTATAGATTGCCGAATTGCAGAACAACGAATCGACTGCTCAGAAATGAATTATTATTTATAATATATGATTAGATTATTAGATTTTTAATGAATTGAGATTTTCAAAGTTTCTTGTTTTCGATTAGCATGAAATAGATTAGTACTGTAGAGTTTGCTACAATTTTTTTCGTGCTAATTTAAAACACCTCATATAAATCAGCTTGGTTTTGATTGGTGTAATTATAGATGGCAGAATTGCAGGGGAAGGAATGGACTGCTCAGAAAAGACTTATTATTAATTATATATTGTTAGATTATTAGTTTTTCAAATAATTGATATTATTCAAAGCTTTTTGTGTTCGTATTGTAAAGTTTCTTAATCCGTACAATTTTTTTCGTGCTAATTTAAAACACCTGAAATAAATAAGGTTAGTTTTAGTTGGTTTAATTATAGATCGCAGAATGGCAGGAGAAATGAATTATTCTTAATTATGTATTATTAGATTATTAGTTTTTCAAATAATTGATGGTTTAAGTTTTTTTGTCGTCGATTAGCATAAAATTGGCCCGAGATTAGTACTATAGAGCTTCTGAGCCGGTAGAATTTTTGTTGTGCCTATTTAAAACACCTTAAATAAATAAGGTTAGTTTCGGTTGGTTTAATTATAGATTGCAGAATTGTAAGAGGAGTAATCGACTGCTCAGAAAAGGTTTATTATTTTGTGTTCGTACCGTAGAGTTTCTGAATCCGTACAAGTTTTGTTGTGCCAATTTAAAACATCTGAAATAAATAAGGTTAGTTTTGGTTGGTTTAATTATATATCAGAGAATGGCGGGAGAAGGAATCGACTGCTCAGAAATGAATTATTATTAATTATGTATTATTAGATTATTAGATTTTCAAATACTTGATGTTTTCAAAGGTTATTTGTCGTCGATTAGCATAAAATAGGCCCGAGATTAGTACTATAAAGCTTCTGAGCCCGTAGAATTTTTGTTGTGCCAATTTAAAACACCTGAAATAAATAAGGTTAGTTTCGGTTAGTTTAATTATAGATCGCAGAATGGCAGGAGAAGGAATCGACTGCTCAGAAATGAATTATTATTATTTATATATTCTTAAATTAATAGATTTTCAAATAATTGATGTTTTTAAAGTTTTTTTGTAGTCGATTAGGCCCGAGATTAGTACTATAGAGTTTCTGAGGAGGTAGAATTTTTGTTGTGTCAATTTAAAACACCTGAAATAAATAAGTTTAGTTCAGTTTCGTTAATTATACCTCCGAGAATGGCTGGGCATAGGAATCGACCGACAGAAACGAACCATCATCGCGGCGTCCCACGAAAAACCGTGGAAAGTTTTTACCAGTCAGTTTTTTGTCAGTCCTGACAAGCTCGCCGCGGAATAGTTTTTATTCTAATAATTATTCGAGCAACTGTGGGGGGAAAAAACTAAATTATCGATGTCGCGGTACCGAAAATGAAGTCGACATTCCGCGCTGAGAAAAAGACGGACAAAAAGTTGTCCGACCGTGGAAGCACAGTATGTCAAAAAAAGCTCATTCCATTTGATTTGCTTCGGTGATGCCGTAGATATACGTTTAACAACGAAAAACAAAAAAAAAAAACAACACATTTTCGATTCAAATCCTATTAGGCTCGAAAGTAATTAATTTTTATTTGATTTGCTTGCGTTTACTTTAATAGTACGTAAATATACAATTTTTTTAATCGTCCGTTGCGTGTGCATATTTTTACGGCACGTTAAAAAGACAAAACGTTTTTGTCGCGCCATTAACGATTTAACGTTTTTTTTTCGTATTATTCCTCGTTTTTTAAACGCCCTTGAAATGTACGGAGTCATTCGCTTTTTTAGCGCTAATTTATCGCACAAAAAATATTAAAAACGATTTTAATTGAAATTTCATAAAAACGCTAATACCCGGTGACTAGCCTATACAATTTTCGAAAAAAATTCAGTTATTTATGTTGCCGTTTAACGTCATTGTGTCGCCCGTTGTTGAATTATTTCTTTTTTCGCCTCAGAAAAACCGAAAACGAATTCGCCTCTCCACCGCTTCTGTGGTTTGTTAAATTTTATTTCTTTGTGCTTCATTCCGCTCC